TGTTTTGCTGCGGCCCGGGTGAACCGAGCTGTCGCTGACTCGCTGCGTGCGTGTGTTGTCGCTCCCACCCCTAATCCAAGGCCGTCTCGTGCCTACCCCGTCCGTTCGCTCGCGGCTCTTCGGTGGCTCTGATGGCGCCGGCCGCCGCGCCGGCCCGGGGCGGCGGCTGTTTACAAGATCGCCCGGGGCGCTGGCCGGGTCAGATGAAGGTCAGATGGAGGCGGTATTGTGCCGGCCGACCCGCGTGCCGGACGGACCCACACACGCGACGCTGTCCGAAATTGCGGCGGCCGCCGACGGCTGGCACGCTGGGGCTGAGGGCGGCACGAGGAGGGCGGGAACAGCTCACGATTTGACCCGAGTGACTGACGGGTTAACAGAAGCGATCGATGTACAGTCCACAGCAGAAGTAATGTGGGGTTTCAGTCATGGTTATGTTCTGCTTCTGAAGCTTAGGAACGATTAGCCAGGCTACAATGAAACATTGAATGTAGCTTATATGTATCGTCACCCTTGCAGCTGCAATTTTAGCTATTGACCTCTTCTTTTCGATCACTCCGCATTAAACAATCGCCAGTCAAATCCAAGCGTTGATATTGGTAAAACCCTACATTACTTTAGCGTTGGGCTGTACATACCCATGTGCCGAGCTGGGAATAGTAGATGTGAGTGTTTGTGTTTCGGTGTTTGCCTATGTGTTTGTCTTACTTAACAAAGAAATAATAATAAAAAATTTGCGTCAGCTACACCTTCACCGAGGTCGGTGTCAGGCATGATCACCGAAATGGAAAAGCAAAGAAAAAATAAAAAAGTCGGATAGCATAATGTATAAAGGTCATTTTCATATTGAGAAGTTTGGAAAGCCCCCAGCTCTGTAGTAGGTAGTGACTCCTATATATGCAATGCCAAGCGCCCAGTGGTTTAGTGGACACTAGCCCCCAACAAGTCGAATAACACATAATATTACGCGGTGGAAGTCGTTACGATCGTACTGCTGCCCGCCTTGTCCAGTCTGCCAGTCTGACCCCGTGTGTTATGTGACAGCTCGCAGTGTCCTAAGCTGTCAGCAGCCGTCTTCTGCTTTCCGGGCTTCTAGATATTGTTGAGGCACCATCTGATGCCCAGGATCCGCTTTGAACATTACGCCTATGGTAGTGTTTTGAAAGAAACGTGCGTTCGGCCATTTCAATTGACCCTACTTGGCAACTTTGCCTATCCTGTTGCATTCCAGGCTGGACCGCCAGTTTGGGACCCCATATTTTTTGGCCTACTAATGTCAGCAAATGCCAAATGCATCGTGAGAAAGATGTGCCTAACATATTAGGATTTTGGTTCCAGACTAACCAGGAGGACGTAAATACATCTCCAAACGGATACCGTTCTACTGGCGCCGTCAGCGAGTCTCACTAGTCGAGCGACATAACGACACTTAAAGGAAGACTGCCACCTTCAAAAAGTTTTCTCAGATCGGCCCATGATTTTTTCCCTGGATAAAACGAAATTTTAGAATTCACCTGGCAAGCTATCATCACGTGAATCGCGTAAAAAAATTATCGATTATCATAAATTATCAATCGGATAATGTCTAGCGACAATGTTGACACATCACTAGACTTCAAGGTCATAAGATATGGAAGCGGGTTTTGTCGCCATAAACGGCGCGCATGTTACAATTGAAATATACAATGATCCTTGCTTTGGTTATGTATGTCGTGTTTACGCTTTTGGAATTGCCTGTTTTAATGAGTTATGTTATCTATATCTTAAAATATTCCAATTCTGATTCATCTGATAGGTATATATATACATGTATTTTGGCATGTGATATTAAAAGCTAGACTATTTCCAGGTTTATATGAATAGTGATAGACTAAGTTGAGACAAGTGCTATTTGGATAACAAATACCTATGGTATTGGAAAAATTGTCATGAATCTGATAGTGTTTCCATTCCAGCACCAATTTCCCAGTCTTCAAAGTGTGGCAGGGAGCTCAATCCGTGACAAGATGTTTGGGACAGTCAAAACATTGCCCCAAGCGGAATGCCGAGACCTGGGCAACCCAATTCCTTTCATGAGGGCCCCTCATAAATATGATGAAAATGATATAATGATGAAGTGCATCATTTAATAAGTATGAGAAGCGAAATGAATCAATGCTGTGACAAGCTTTCAACTTCTGCCCCAGATTTCCTTGCTTCTGCCCCAAAATTCCTCAAACCTGCCACAACCTGTGGTGTGTGCCCTGACAACATATTGTCAAGACCTGCCACGTTTTGCAGACTGGCCCATTTCTGTATGCCTACCTTCCAGGTGAAGATGCCTGGTGAGCGAGGGAGAGGACGAGGACGGGTGAGGAGAGGAGGTGGTCGAGGGGCAAGAAGAATTCTCAACTTTTCACCCACCGCCCAGCCCGAGCCCCAAAGGTAAATAACTGAATGTTTCTTACGATGCGATGTGAAAGTATGAAACAATTTTTTTAATATTTATTTAATTGCCATGTGTGGCCTAGCCTTTATCTAGGTTGCTAGCCAATATATATTTTAAGGTGATTATTGCAATTAAAATTATCATGTACCTACCTTGAAAAGTCAGGTACACTACAAGCAGAAATAATACAACCTAATCTAACCTTACCTAACCTTACCTAATGTAAGATAATCTCACCTGACTCATTGTGTGGTTTGGTGGAAGTTATAAATGTTTTGTGAAAAAAATATGGTTAGTACACAAAACATTTCCAAGGATGTGTTCTTTCTAATCATGTTTTAATTTTGTGAGTCTCTTCATTTTCTAAAGAGTGCAAAAGGAGGTATTCAACTCTGCTCATGATAATTCAAAAGGAATTCTTAAATACAATGCACCCATAAATCACTGATTTTCACTTTGTGGTTCATCAGAAAACACATTCAACATCATTGTCTTTCTATAATGAAAGATGGCACTAAAACATGAACCACTTTTCTTTCAGAAAAGTGGTGCTAGGTGAACTTGATACAGGTGAACTTATTACTTAATACTTAGGACACATGTCTTGACACAAGTCTTGATCTTATCGTGGGAGGCGGCTCGGGTTGGAGATACACGTACACTGGTTATTAGGGAGACCATTAGGTACCATTAATGATTTTACATTGCTGTGCGATACGAGGTTGTACCTAGTGATGTTGCGTCATTTGTGGACTTCCCCCCTGCGAGTTGTCTGGTCCTAGGATTTCATGCACATCTTCCTTCACTTCAAACTGGGATTTACCGGTGACGTGTTTTCTCTGTGTGCGCCAGGTGTACCAGTGGAAGCTCCTGCACCACGTCTTTAAGGACCACCTTGTGATGCTGAACCCGGTGCACCTTTCCCTACAAGTGCACCGTCTGTACGGCCACATTCGCATATGTATACAAACAGTTCGAGAATGACGTGTACAGCCCTCACTCTGTCGTCGCCAAGAAGATTATGGAGTCGTTTGGCCGTAGGAAGGCAGCTGCGGCGGCGGCCGCCACCGGACAGCCCATCAAAATCAACAACGAGATCACAATTCACAATCATCCCTCACACGGGCTCGGGCGGTGCGGCAAAGGGCTCGTCTCAGGCCAGCTCGACGCCGGTGAAGCGGCGGCGACCGGAGTCGGCGCCGGCTCCCGTGGAGCGTGAGTGCGAGCTGTGCGAGCATCGCGCGCTGCCGTGGTGCAGCCGCGGCCGCTGACGGAGCACTACCTGCGCCAGGCGCCTGCACCAGGGCCGGCCAGAGCTCGAGTTCACGCCGCTGATGCGCGACTCCAAGTGCGCCACCTTCGTCACAGAGGAGATCTGCGAGCAGCTGCGCCGGCGCGCCGCCGCCGAGGACTCCGACAGTGGGGTCGAGGTGGAGGTGAGCGACGCGAAGGACGGCGCGGCCGGCGGCGCCCCGTCCGCCTCCGGTGGCAGCGCGCTCAGCAAGCTCAACGAGGAGACTCACGCCTATTGCCGCGGCGCGGCCCCGCCGGCTGGTGACCGTCCGGAAACCCAAGCCGTTCATGGGTGACTGAGTGAAACGAATGGACGTGCATGTGCGTTTTTGTTCTGTGTATGCGTGCGTTTGGAAATGGCGTCTCTATGTGCGTGCTTGTTTTGTAGAAGCGCTAGCGGTGCCGACGGACCCAGCGATGGCGCGGAGGGCTTTGATGTACCGTGTGTCTTTGATGTTGATGCATTCTCGTGTTTTGTTGGTCGCGCGCCCAGCAGCACCGTGTACATAGCCGGGGGCGTTCCTGCTCGACGCCACGTTCTGTTCGTTGTATCTCAATGCCAGCTTTTTGCTCCAAGTCCCGCTCGTGGAACACGCGACTCGCTCGATTCAAATAATAAATATACACTTTATTTCTCTGACAACCTGATGTCCTCTCTCTCCTCTCTCCTCTCTCCATATAAAAAAATACGGCCACGGTGAGTAGGTGCCGGCCGGCGTTAACTGCCTCCGGCCGGACGGTTCTCAGTTGATATGTGACAACAGTTAGGAATGTAACACCGCCATAGTACCCTCCATCACTGCCGGGCGCGGCGGTCCCCGCACACAGGACCGGCGGGGGGGGGGGGGGGTAGCGACCGCCGCCAGCTGCTGGCCGCCCATCAGCTGCAACACCAGCTGCTGCAGATGGACAAGCTGCTGGCGGTCCTCGTTTAGCGCGATCAGCTCCTGTTCGCGCGCCGCCGACACAGCGTTCACAGCGCCGCCGCCGATGAATTGCTGCAGCCGCGCGCGCAGCTCCTTTCGCTCTCTGATGAGACTGAGACTGAGCCAGCCAGAGCCAGAGTCGAGACTGAGCCAGCTGAGTCTTGACAGACCGGACAACACACAAGGCGCCAAAAACGAAGCAACATGATTGGTCGACACATCGAACCGTCTGTCACAGCGACTGTGCTTGGACCACGGCCATCCCGCAATAGTGACAAGACAAGGCATTATCCTGAACACGCGCAGAATCACGCCCAAAGTCAATCGACACACCAAGAAACGTAAAAACATGCAACGGAACGAGAACTAATTTATTGAAATTAATACACAACCCAACACTAGTCAGAAACGCAGCGATACCATTCAGCGTCCTTGGACATGAAAAGAAAATCATCTAAATACGCCAAACACCTGACGTTAAATCTCGACTCTACAAGTTCACTGAAAGCATCTGTTAGGTACTGCATCTCCGAAGGAGATGCAGTACCTAACTGCATCTCCTTCAGTACCTAATAATGCAGTACCTAATAATGGTACTGCATCTCTACCTAATAATGCAGGAGATGCAGTACCTAATAGGGCCCATTGGTAACAGAGAAAAGGTATAAGCACGTTTTACCATCATACAAAACACCAAAAGGACGTGTGGAACGTGCGCGAGAAATGTGATGAAATCCATCTTTTAAATCAATCTTGATACCGGTATAAACCCCAAAACGATAACTCTAACGCATCCCCAATAGACGGCAAAGAGCACGGCCGGCACGGCAAGAGGGGCGTAAGCACTGACAAATCGTATACCAGTCTGGCCACAGTCGCACTTTTTGGCACAGTAGCAGGCCAACTAAACAGCGACTCGCTCGCGACCGGTGCCGACGGCGATGAAGATTCGTCGTCACCAGCGTCCTCCCCAGGCGCGCTGCCGACGGGGCACGCCGCCACCGGCCCGCCAGCATCACCGTCGACCGATGATGTCTTCAAAGAAGAGCCGTTCCCCTCAGTGGCGGCAGCAGAAGAGACCGCAGGCGGCGGGGACCCGGAGCAGGGCACAGAGACGTTGCCCCCCGCCGCGCCTCAAACGCCGACCTAAGCCAGCTCCGCCGTCGGGTGAGCTCCGGAAATGATGATGGAGAATGATGGAAGGATGATGTCATGGAGCCGCGGATGCTGCTCCATGGCAGAAATCACCTCTGCAGCTGCGCCGTGCGGATGTTGGTGGCGAACGCCCCCTGGGCTCTGAGTCAGCTGGCTGGTGGCTTGCGCGCTCTGTGGGAGAGCAGGACAAGGTGTAAAATGCTGCTACGGGACACGTAAGCAGATGTAATACCTCTGCTCGAGCTACCACATGCAGATAAGACTAAAGTCTGTTCCATTTCAAGCCTGCAGCCGAAGTACCATGCTGTAAACAACACATGCTTTATGTGTGCATAGCTCCTACATTAACCCTCGCCCTGGCAGGACATTTTTCATAACACGGCCTGGCAGGGGGGGGGGGTGATGCGACCCCCCTCGCGATTGGCTCCTATGGCACCTAGAAACACCAAATTTGGTAGGTAGGTGGGCCCCCTGGAGTTCTCGCCCCTGCGCAAATTTGGTTGCTCTAGGTCAATATTTAGGGGGGTTTTGGGGGGTATAAATGTAAAAATTTTGCTGCAGTATGCTCGAGGCACGTCCATGGTCAAAATAATAGATAAAGCCCAATTTGAATAATTCTAGCAGAAAGACACCAGAATCACCCCTCAAGCAAAAAAGAAAAGTTTGTCATAAATAGGTTGCCAGTTCTCACCTGCTTCCACTCCACCGCCGTTTACCAGCTCGCAGCTGATGTCCATGCGGTGTTGACACCAGCGGCGCAGGTGACGTCGCCGACCTCTCCGGCACCGGCAGAGTCGACGCCACGGCCGTCGCTGGATGGTCCAGTGCCGCGGATGGTCCAGCTGGTGACGGCGTCACGGCCGTCGCTGGATGGTCCAGGGCCGCGGATGGTTCAGCTGGTGACGGCGTCACGGCCGTCGCTGGATGGTCCAGTGCCGCGGATGGTCCAGCTGGTGACGGCGTCACGGCCGTCGCTGGATGGTCCAGTGCCGCGGATGGTCCAGCTGGTGACGGCGTCAGGGGTTCCGCGGAACTCGCAGGTGACGTCGCCGTCGCAGGTGACGTACCAAGGTTCTGAAATCACAGTGCAGAGAGAGGTTGGTGAACTACCAGAGTGTTTACCCGTGCCCTGCTGGGGGGGGGGGGGCGTGCCAATAATGTCTTTTTGTTCCAATGGGGCGGATTTGCAAGCCTTCGCCCCATCAAAAGACGGCACAATTACAAAACAACGCACAACGTCATAACGTCACAGCCCACAGGCACTCATCTCCATACTATTGACTGACGCACCACCCCAAGGTCACATGCACTTGGCCCATGCCGAAAAAAGATATTATAACATTAGAACACATTGTGTCACATTATAAGCGTCCTTCTCTTTGTCAGTGGCGCCCAGCTCTGCACCATATACCGCCCCATGGGTAAGCCGCCTCTAACTCAGACAAATAATAGAACCACCCCACCGGCACGCGATTACGCGTTCGAGCAAAATATGGCCGTCCGCACCAGCTGCTTTCGCGTCTAACACTACCGCTGGAATTCTCTCGGCCACGGAGCGCGCTTACCTTCGAGGGTACAGCCTCCGGCTGGAGGAAGCGATTTGGGGTGTAATCGCTTGATTTCTCAAATTCTTTGTAATAAAGCAGGTGGTTTCTCTGTGCATTTACATTTGTGCCACAATAAATGGCGACAGCCTACATAGGTTGTTACGAGCGAGCAAGCGAAGCGAAGTCTTTTCAATACTAGATGCAGGCAGCGCTCGTGCGTTGCCTTGGGCCAGAATTGGAGGGATGGTGCCGAGAGCATGCCGGGCCAGGGAAAAAACAATAAGTTAGGTCTTGGGGGTAGACTGAAAGATAACCGAGACCTTTTGAGACTGTAACGAACTGAAACGTCTAAAGAATTATTGAAAGCACGTGAAATTGATATGGAAATCTACCTACAGTATAGGATATGAATTCATTGCACGTGCAAAGTGAATGTCCCAAGCACCCCGGTTCATTCATTTTCATAACATAGTAGAGTGTGTCTAGTTCTAGCAGTGTGCCAATTTTGTGTCGATAGCTGAAAAATTCCCGAAGTCAGAGGACCCCTTGTCAAGAAAAGCTACAGTTCTCTCGCTCGTTCGGTCTTCGCCCAAAAGGCGTTTATCTGGTAAAATATAACCCTCATGATACTGCATTTCAAATACTGCAATGACGGTGGCGAGATCACATACCTGTGTAGTTTCCATTTTGCACCCTGCTTATGTTGGGGCTTGTAATCAAAGTGTTGCTTGCATGTCTTGACACAACAACGGTTTACCATGTTGCTGCTGTAAAAGAAAAGCTGTATTTGTCATTTAAAGTTGTTATACAATTAATATTAAGAGGTGCAGCATGACAGCTTTCAGCATGTCTGAAAAACGTGGCTGCCACGTTTTTCAGACTGAGTCAGGTCAACGGTCGCTGAATGGTGATTGACAAATACTAATTTTTATAACTATTTATAATTATAAGCATTCATATTTAAATTATTTATTCCTAGTTTGGTCATAGCCCTGCTCACTTCAACTGTTTATTGGTCGATCAATATTTGGATTTGCGCCTAGTAGTTTCCCAGTCTGCAAAGCATTGCAATTTTGACAAAAGCTTGTCGGTGCAGGCTTGTTCAGCTGGTGCTGATCTGATGCGGCGTGGTGCGGATTTGGCTGGTAGGGTGCAGATCTAGTGTAGCCCAGTGTCCCAAGATTTGGGTGGAAAGTGAAATCCTTGTGAAATTGAATAGTCCACTCGGTCCACTCTCACCTTTAATTTTCCAGGACAAGTTGCCCTCCCAACTTTAACAACTAAATCATCCGCATGTACATTTGCTGGCTGGCTTGTACCTACATTCAAATTCCATTAAATCATCGCAGCTCCCACATCCTGTAACATTCACATAGAAAATGGTGATCATGTTTTCATTCTTCTTTGTATCTTTCTGACTGGCAATTTTCCACTTTCAGTCCTCTTTGTAGTGAGGAATTTTACCCTCGAACACCCAAGCCAAAATATCCCTAATTTTGGGACACTGGTGTAGCACATTGCAGATTTGCTTGTTGATGGACATGACAGACCAGACAAGATATATGAGGAAAATTGAAAAACATTGCTGAAGCTGAAGCCATACTTTGCAGCCGTGCGCAGCCATGCTGCAAAGTATCGCTCGCATGTCGACGAAGGGCACTAGCCCAAGTTCACAATCCGCACCAACCCTTCAAAACCGGAAAATCCACCCCAATGTGGGCTGAGGGTAAAAGATCCGCACAGAACCCAAAAATGACCAGCAGTTGCACACTCATTTAAACCCAGGGGACACTGAATTACACATAAAAGCTCCAGCAATGTTTTTCTATTTGCCTCATCAATATCGTCTTGTCCGTCAAGTCCATCGTCAAGCCAAATCTGCACTGTGATCCACTAAATCCGCACACCAAGCGAAATCCGCACCACGCCGCAACAGCTGAACAAGCCCGCACCGACCAGATCTTGTCGAAATTGCCATACCTTGCAGACTGGCAGTTTCCAGCATGGGTAGTTTCCCCAAGTCAATTGTATAAATTTGAATTTTGGCATGCTCATCCTCAATTGCATGATTAGGTATTCACTATGCCAGCATTTGTATTTATAACTTCAAGTTCAAAAAAGAGATAATCGATCTTTTTCCAAAACTAAGTGCACACCCGTTACTTGTTACTTGAGAGATTCCGGCACCGTTGTATATCAACTTACCACGATGAAAACCATTAAATATTAGCGCACAGAGACCGTAGAAATGAGGATGAAACCACTTTCAGCATCGCCTATGAATTAGCAATACATTTGACACGTGCCCCGAAAAAGTCTTCAATTTTATCGCGTCGTGTTTGAAACAGAGGTGGAAACATGCAGAACATGGTAGCAAACCAAAAATCCTTTACCACTTACCTTTGTCATAGGGTCTGCTCCCTTCACTAGTGTTGAAGAGATCGGACCTCAGGTCTTCCCTTTACCACTTCCCTTCAAGTAAAAAAAGCATTGTCTTCTACCACAAATTTGCTAATTAACAATTTATCGCCTTTGAATTGAATATGTGTGAATAAGAAAAGATAAATAAAACCCTGTTGACGAGTTTTTCCTTAAAATTTGTATAAAATGCTCTTAATTAAAATCGACAAAGTTTTTCCTTTCCCTGAAATCCTTCACAATGCTAAGAGATCGGCCTTTCTTCATGCTAGTATACTAGGAAACCTTCAACATTAATTTGCTAAATGTACGTCTTTGCTGTTGAAATTAATATTGGTATTACGAAATTTGTCACAACATTCAAGAAAAATAACAATGAATCTCTATGATGCCAAAATGTAATGAAAAGTGTCATACATGCTATCGTAGTGATGAGCATTTTCACCGGCGAAAAAGATGGCATCAAATGGAACTTTGGGAGGCGATTGCGCGTTACAGGGTGAGGATAACGGAAAATGGACTGGACATCTGTGGTGAGGGCGGGCACCTCTTACGAAAACCGGTAAGTAAAAAAAAGGTGACAGTCTACCTTTAACGACATTCGCCAGCCTTTGTCTTCACGCTCTTCGTTTCCGTAACTGCTGCTGCTGATGGCCAGTTGCGTGTCTCAAATGGCTTCAGAACAACATAACGGGCTGCGGCCGGTGCTGGCACAGCATCAGTCATAGGATTATCTATGATTAACGTAGTCGTAAACTGGGCTGGCCACTGGGGACAGTGGGGACCCAGGCCGCCATGATGGCATGACTAACCAACGAGGTGGGCGTGACACGAAGCGCCACGCCCCGGGGGCCTGCCGAAACGCCGCTGCCAAAAAAAATGAGCGCACATTGAAAAATATAATTTCCTGTGTTTACGAGCAACGCATGAAACAAGTGCTTCGACAAGCTGTAACTGCTCGTCCTACAAACAGTTCGACGATACACCTAAGGTGTTTGTAGGTGCCTTGGGTATGTAAATATTGTGAGCTTTGATTATTTTGCTAAGCTGGCGGAAGTGCTTCAGGAGTCCAGGATTATTAAACGCACCACTTGAGCGCATGAAGCTTCCAAAACATACAGCCTCACATCACCAGCTAACAGCCCGGCCGGCCCACACGGCCGTGGTGACGTGGCCAGCCGCCCGCCATGCGCCCTCCCCCGCACCAACATGTCGCCGTCCCGGTCTGTCACGTTTGCCGTGTCGCCTGTCACACAGCCCGTCTGTCACGTTCGCGGGCGGCCTGGCAAACTTGTCACGTATGTAGCGTATGCTAGGCCGTGAGTCATATAAACTCGTCGAAGCAACGGCTACACTAAGCTGCACCCCCGCAGTATTGTCTGAATAATGGAGGTTGGGCCCTATTGGCCCATTGGGACCCTGGACATTCCTAGCGAGGCTTGTTTCGACGAAAATCATAAAAGGAAAGCGGCCTTCAAGTCAAAGACCGCATGAGTGTCAGGCTAGCGGCAGCTAGCTACGTCTATCAGTCAACCCTTTGCACACAGCTAAGTTTTCACCATTGCTTTTATTACGAAAATCACTGGCGGCCAACGTTCCAAATCACTGTCGGACACATTGCACAGGGTTTCCAACATGATCAGGTACAAACGCTCCTCGAAACAGATTCACATGGGGGTCACGGTGCCGTCCAGCCAACTAAAGGCAGACATACTGGCGAGAGCCGCCAGCCAAGCTGCGAAATGACACACACTGGCAAGGAGGCAACTGGCGTCTACTTGCGAAGTGATTCAAAGTGAAATGGCGATCATAGCATAGGGCATGATAACTTCCTTGGGAAAATGTACGGCCACCTCCATCGACAAAATTTCAAGACTTAAGTTTCACGGCTCCCAATCTCTGGTTTTTAAGGCGAGAGTGATACAAATATGCACAAAACGCATTCAACATCACTTATTGACTAGTAAGCATCTAATGACATGCATTCTACACAACTGAAATCCTCTTCTAGAAGAACTTGTAAACTACAAGCACGCCAACGACGGACAAACGGCAAGCATCAGCTCGAGCTTACCTCGTCCGGAACACATCAACACTCAAGAGAAATCCCTGCAAGCATTTCTAGTTGAAAATGACGGCTGGCCAGCCAGGCGCAGAGGAGGCACAATATCCAGCATTCACAGCTCCATAACAATCACAAGGTCATTCCAAACGCGGCAACGAACCTACCAGAGACATATGTAATGTTACTGTCATGGGACATGACGAAAGTGGAGAATAATACCAGGTACGCATTAACCATCGTCAGCTACGCTCTGCGCTAATTATTTTGTTGGGGGTTGGCAAGACATGCCATTTTAAGTACCTTTCACGATATCAATGTGCCCGACAACAGGCGGGTATCAAATATCCACTGAGTCGGTTCCATTCCGTTTCATTGTCAGTCGGGGCCCACAGCTTCAGTCCCATTGAGTAAACTGACAGAATATGGCAACAGAGGTCCAGTGCGTGTAGTCTCTCTTGAAATTACCGATACACGGGGCAAGAAAGTACCAGTGCACCAATAGCTGAATCGGTTTGAATCTCTCTCTCTCTCTCTCTCTCTCTCTCTCTCTCTCTCTCTCTCTCTCTCTCTCTCTCTCTCTCTCTCTCTCTCTCTCTCTCTCTCTCTCTTTCTCTCTCTCTCTCTCTCTCTCTCTCTCTCTCTCTCTCTCTCTCTCTCTCTCTCTCTCTCTCTCTCTCTCTCTCCCTCTCCCTCTCCCTCTCTCCCTCTCTCCCTCTCCTTCTCCCTCTCTCTCTCTCTCTCTCTCTCTCTCTCTCTCTCTCTCTCTCTCTCTCTCTCTCTCTCTATCTTCCCCGCTTCCTCGACATCCTCATCCATCCATCGGTCAAGTCTAGCTCGGTGAATCTCAAACTCAGCAGCCCTCTCTTGGTCGGGCCTGATGGCATCGCCGCGCCGTGTATCGGTACTTTCAAGGGAGACCGCACAGCGCCGCCTGTGGTGACCTGGTGCAGCGCTATCTCATTACCACCAGGTGGCGCGACATCTGAGGGACCTGCGGGACGACGACGTGGTGGCGGCCCTGGCCAAGATTACTTTACTACGCCCTGGCGGCCGCTGCCAGGTCCCTCCAGAGCCGCTCGGCTACGCTCGACTGAGCGGAGGGACTACGACAACAACAAGGGCAGCAGTATCGTCCCAGTCCTCCCAGCAAAGGCGACTTATCACAACGCAGGCAAGGAAAACAGAAACACCGCTGATGGCAGCTGGGGAAGCAATGAGCCATGACTTAACCTCTTCCAATGAAACAGTGCCCTGCTCTTACAACTGTGGATCGCCACAAATAAACACAAAACGAATTGAGTCATCCCACCAAAATTGTCAAACCCAAATATCGGGTCAAAATCACAGAATTCGAACAATTAAAACGACCGAATGGACGCTTTTCTTCAACCACCCCGCCCCCAAATCCACCCTCTTCGCCCGTCCCCAAGACAATGCAGGCGGACGGAACCGAATCTGTCCCCACCTCACGTGAATGGCCGGCACCCGCTGACCTCAAGGGCTTCGCTGGCGTCAGGGGTCTCAGCTGACCTCAGGGGTCTCCGCTGACATCTCGGGGCTTCGCTGACCTCAAGGGGCTTTGCTAACTTCAGGGGTCTCCGCTGACCTCAGGGGTCTCCGCTGACCTCAGGGGGTCTCAGCTGACCTCAGGGGGTCTCACGCTGACCTCAGGGGGTCTCACGCTGACCTCAGGGGGTCTCACGCTGACCTCAGGGGGCTTCGCTGACCTCAGGGGCGCCTCTGCTGACCTCAGGGCGACTCCTGGAGGTAGAAGAGGACCGTCTGCCGGCCGGCCCCGAGCTGTGCCGGCCACAGGTCCGGGTCGGGCTCCGCCGCGCCGCCGGGGGAGCAGCCGGCGGTCAGAGCTGGCAGCGACACGGACCGGCCGGGTGGACTCAGACTCAGGCAGTCGCTCTCGTCTGCCGGAGGGGAGACACGGGTCAGACTCATCGCCAAACAATACACACAGACGGAGGAAATACGAGAGCGACCAGACAAGTGCAACGAAGGCGCATTTAATGTTGAAGCACATTCGTGAGCTCACAGAAAGGCAAATGACAGTGATTCTACTTACATTAGGTAGATTAATGCCGCAAACATTGTAATAGCGAAATCCAATTTCATTTCAGTTACATAAATACTTAAATAGCACGGTTGCATGGCCAGTAATAAAGCGTAAATAAAAAACGTCCGAATGGAGCTGACGACAGCTATCTACGTTATCAGTGAATAATCAGTCACTCCATTGCACCGTTTCTAATACTCACCATCTGTCTCGGTCTCCTCGCTCCAGAGGCGCCACCTCTCCAGGAATTCTGCCGCCTCGCTGCTGCCGGCCGCCGCCGCCCGCTCCAGCAGTCCGGTGACGTCATATTCGCACTGCGGTGACGTCACCAGCCGCCCGGCGGCGGCCAGCAGTGCCAGGTTGTAGCCGGCCGCGGCGTGACCGAGGCGGGCAGCCTCCTCGTAACACACAGCCGCCTGTGGATGGAGGGGAGGGGGAGGGGTCAGGGAGGCTGGGGTACATACTGTCTGATTGCTGTCAGACCTAATGGTGACAGTAGTGGCTCCCTGCCAGCGAGGGGAGACCGGCCATTAAACTAACTACGGCGAGTGAATCAGGACAGCGATCACCGCCATTATAACTGACAGAACGTTTGACCATAATTGCGGCCGGCGTCGCTATAATTGGAAGATTGCGGTGGCAACAAGTGTGGGCCCCGACCAGCGCCCGCAGCTGACGGCACACACGACACAATGGGACCGGGCCCGGCAACAGCGCATGTGAACGGCGAATGGACACTGGAAATCAATACTGGGTGCAGAACGGCTGAATAGATGCCGGTGGATGGACAAGCGATTGATTAAGCCGAGTGAAAAGGAGAAGCCCTAAAATAGTGATGCCAGCAGGCTTACAGCACAGCATATCTAGCGTTGGAACCCTCCCATACCACTTTGATCACCTCTACTGACCTTTTCTAGGTCGACGTCGGTGCCGCGTCCCTCCTGGAAGCAGAGGCCGCAGTTGAACCAGGCCGGTGCCGACCCCAGCGCCGCGGCGGCCCGGAAACACTCCAGTGCCTGGCGCGGCCGCGAGGCAGCGACACCGGCGCCGGCGGCCAGCTGAAGTCGGGCCATCAGCCGGTCGTGTTCGGAGGCGAACGAGACGCGCAGCGCTGACAGCGGGTCCGCCGGATCACAGTCGGCGGCAGGGGCCGTCTCCGGTGTCTCCGGAGCGGATGTGGGGGTGGGAGGGGCGGTGACGGGGTTGGAAGGTACGGATGCTCTGACTGAACCGGCAGCAGGGGCGGCCTCAGCGGGGGCGGTGGCAGGAGCTGTGACACCAGCCGTACCGCTGCCGTTACAAGTAAGTACGCTGTCAGTAGCGGTGGCAGTAGCAGGTACAGTAGAGGCGACAGCAGTGTGTTTCACACTTCTGTCGGTAGTGCGGACGGTGCCGCTGCCAGAGGAGGACCCGGGGACACTCCTGGTACCGCCGGCCTTGCTGGCAGTTAGGACGGCGGTGGCAGCGGTACTGCCGTCCGTTGACTGACCGGCCAGTCCCAGGTACCAGAGGGCGGCTGTCGGCGGTAGGTGGGTGGCCGTCGGGCTCGGCAGGCCCCAACTCAGGGGTCCGCTGGGAGCGCACGGCCCGCCCGGAGAGGCAGGGGCACGGGTCACCGGCCGCTGCGGCTGCGGGGGAGGGGAGCACCGGTCAGACACGGTTTGCGGGGGAGGGGAGCACCGGTCAGACACGGTTTGCGGGGGAGGGGAGCACCGGTCAGACACGGACTGCGGGGGAGGGGAGCACCGGTCAGACACGGACTGCGGGGGAGGAGAGCACCGGTCAGACACGGACTAAGGGGGAGGGGAGCACCGGTCAGACACGGACTAAGGGGGAGGGGAGCACCGGTCAGACACGGACTGCGGGGGAGGGGAGCACCGGTCAGACACGGACTGCGGGGGAGGAGAGCACCGGTCAGACACGGACTAAGGGGGAGGGGAGCACCGGTCAGACACGGCTTGTGGCGGAGGGGGGCACCTGTTAGACACGGCCGGAACACAGCGTACAACGGAAACACAAGCATGCCAAATCAACGGACGAAATGCCAAAAAGTTGCAAAAAAGTTGCAACATTTACAATCATATTACCAAAGTCCAAAGGAAAAACACAACGCGCTAAATGCGCTATTTACTGCAGCTCACCTAATAGCTGACGAGAGTAATATCAAAATTGCTGCCGTCAATCTTTCTAACGCTGCCTGCCGCTTGTCTATTAGCAAATTTCAAGCGTGTAGTATAGACAAAGAAGAGCCGCGAGTTTGCTATGGTTTGTGCCTAACCCAAACAGCGGACCTACGTGGGTCAAAAAGTATCCTGTGTTGACATTTGTCAAAACACAATAACAAATCAAAACCGGCTCATAATAACGGGAAAAATATCAAAGAGGATTATTTAAAAAATATTTTAAAAAAAAGATTACTTGCAAGTTTAACACAATTTTGATGGTAACAGCGATACATTTTTTTCTGGAAAGAATGGCATTGACTATCACACAATTAATGCTTCGGCGATAGGCATTAGGCATCCATCGATAGATAAACATTTGTTACCACATACCTTGCACATCCTTTTTCGAGAATCGAAACACACCATGGGGCTTTGCTAGTATCTCGGCGCTGCCTAGCAGTGCCGTAGTCAGGACCACACTGCCTACTGCGGACATAGTCCAGGCAGCCACCGGCCGCAGGCAGATGGGCTACGTCACGGATCACACCACCGTTCCCGGCCTGCGATTGGTCAATCGACCCAGGCAGCTGTAGGCAGCGCGACCAGCCCCCCGTAGGCACCCGGTACACAGGCATTGTGACTAACGACCCGCCCGGGCGCCCGGCGACGGCCGCCTAGCGTCCGGAAGCGCTGACTCACCGCCAGTGGAGCCGCGGCGCGGACCGGAGGAGGCGGCGGCGGCGGCGGTCCGGCCCGCCGGCCGCGGGGGCGCGGTCCGGCCGCCGCCTCCTCCAAGCGCTGTTCATCACGGTCCTCCCGGTCGTCCGACAGGAGCTGACTGGGAGTCTCGCGGACGCGCCAGGCGCCGCTCCGAACTCCACCTGCAGAGGGGAGCGGTGTCAAAGGGAGATCTACGGAGGTGAAAGTCAGTGAAACATGGCGGGACTCTGTAAAATGTGCGGGGATGAAACGTTCATGCCCCGTAATAATATGGTTCTAACAAGTGGGCTGTACGAAATTTAACCAAACGATGGATAAACAGTAGGCCGTATGTGTGACCAAAGCAGTGAGAATTAACACTGCCAAATGCCATCCGTTTAGTAATTAGTATAGATGGTAAACTGGTTTGCAATAAAGGGAGACCTGAACAGAACTCCGGTAAATCGAAGCACACCTAAACAAAGTAGCGTCACAAAAGACCGGCGTCTCACCCACCTCGGATATAGTTGAATAGGGTAGAAAATCTCCACATCATACTGTCTATGACCGGCATCGACCGATGTGGGCTGGCGTGGACCCCGCAGCCTCGCAGGCTGCAGACTTACGCCATCTCTGGAACACACCATACAGCGCCGGTGAGACGGCATATCGATCCTACCCTAGCTCCTAGCACCAATTATGAGTGGCCTAGTACAAGTGGACGCAGGTCTGGTTCCCACGACACACACACACACACCCACGCGGACGCGGCCGGCGGTCTCGGGGCTTCGGACGGTGCCACGGTGTTTATTTGTACGTGGGTGGACGACGAACATGAGCCCCGTCGGCTGGTCGTGCCCCCGGACTCCCTGGAGATAGGCGGCGTCTGATTAATCTCCTGGTCTGGATAACGTCCTCTTCAGTCCTGGACGCTTTGGAGGTCAGGATTGTAAAGGGTCCCGCGATTCGCCTGGTTGTTGCTATGCGTTATAATAGCTGAATGTTGTCCTATGGTAAACATTACATGCTGGCTACTAAGTTTGCTTTGACGAGCTGATGACTAGCGTCGGTCGACTGGAATGTGGTGTTATGTTTCGTTCCACCTATTCGACCATTTTGGGTGCATCCGGTATGTGATGGGAAACCCACTCTCCTGAAGGTCACAGTTCACGTCATAGTTGCTCTTTAGTACATACATTTAGGTTTCACTGAGTTTGTATGCAGTTCATTTGGGCAAGGATCTTTGCTCCAATAATCTACTACAATCAAGTTGTTTTTAAGAACCTGAGTAAGTGAAGCTCATATTTCAAGTGCGCCGTTGACCAAAACCAATCCTGTGGTAATCACCAAGAAACAGATTCCGGGTCACTACGAACGGTATTATTGCCAAGCCATCACGTCTTCAATCAAAAGCGCATTCACGGCAACGAAAGCCGATAATGTATTTGATATGCGGATTCGTGATACAATTTATTTTTTTTTTTCTCACAGAAATTAAAGGTGCCATTTACCAAGCGATGGACTATAAACACGCCCTTGGTAGTTGGAATAGCTAAAGGAGCATTGATCACGTATTATGGAACTATGCGTAAATCACACAGCGCATGCCACCTAGCAGAGTAATAGGACCCAGGCAACATGCTGAACATAATCACTTTAGATCATTTATCAATTATGATAATGATCGGTTAATCACTTATTTGGCGTACCCTCTCTCGTACTAAATATGGCTTTTTCCAGGAATGGCTTCAAACACATCGTTGGACGTCTCTAGCAAAGTGCAGCAATTACCTACATCATAGCCATTAACCGCAGTTCGCAAGGCACCAAATGCAATACAAAATCATACTGACCGCGAGGGTCCCTAACAGGATCATGGAATGGCACAAGAGCGCAATATGCGATAACGCTGCGTTTACATCGGTAACCTCCTGTCATCCACAGCTTCCCTAGCACCCAGCCTGAAGGCCACGCCCGCCCGCCGTCGGGCCCCACTGCAGCACACGGCACTGCTCAGACGTCGCGCTGCAGCTGCTGGTTCTCCAGGCGCACCTTCTCCAGGTCTGCCCGCACCTGTTCCAGCGTCACCTCCACGCGCCTGCTCCTCTCCTGGTCGATCATCTCCTGGACGCGCCGGCCGCGCCGCAGCACGGCCGCCGTCTGCTCCACCAGGTTCACCAGCTCGGAGCAGCAGTCGTGCAGCGACACCAGGCCGCGGTACGAGGCGCGCGACCACTCGTTACCGGCCGCCTCCGGGAAAATCTGCTCCTCGGCCGCCTGGAACGTGCGCGCGATCTTCTCCGAGGTGGTGTTGATGCTCTTCCTCAGCGCCTTCGTCTCCTCAATGCTGGCCGTGATGGTCTCTCGCTGTTTGCGCACGCTGCCGACGATCTCGAGGATACGTTTGGTGTACGCCGTTCGTTTCACGTGTTTCTTCAGACCGGCCGCCTGTCCCTGCAGGGTGGCCAGCGCCCGCTCGCGCTGCGCCAGCTCACTGCGAAGCTCCTCCTGCCGGCGGGCCAGCTCCTCGAGCGGGGCGTCGCGCGCCGTGCGCCGCAGCTCGGCCAGTGTCCGCTCCAGGTCGGCGCGGCGCGTCTCCCACTCGGCGTGCCGGTGCGCGGCGCGCTGCCGGGCGCGCTCAGCCGCCGTGGCGCCGCTCACCGCGTCCCCGCCGGCGTCCAGAGCCTGCCGGGCCCGCTGGCGCAGCGGCAGACCGGCGCGCCGCTCGCTGAGCAGAGCCGCCTCCGCCGCCGCTTCCGCCTGCCGCTCCGTACACTCCTGGAGCAGCAGCTGGTACTCCTTGGTGCTGGCCTCCAGCGAGGCGCGGATCCGCTCCAGACTCTCATTGGCGGCGGCCAGCTCCTGCTCCTGCTGGAGTCTGGCCTGCTCTCGCCGGTCCTGCTCCGACTCCTGCTCCACTGGCGGCTCCTCCATCACAGAATCAGCGGAAGCAGACTCCTGCACCGCCACATCTGCCGAAACAACCACGTCAGCAGCAGCGACGGGCGCCGCTACCGACTGAGGCTCCAGCCGAGGGAACTGTCGCTCAGCCTCGGTGATCATCTCCAGTGCCTCCGGCGGCAGTGGCGGTCGGGAACCGGTCCGCGCCGGCCTGTCTCCTGCCACCAGCAGTCGGGCCGTCCAGTCCAGCACGGACGGCGCCACCGCCGCACCGCTGCTCGGCTGCAGCGTGACGAACGATCCCGCCTCGACGTCCAGCCTCTCGGCGGCGAACGGTACCCTCTGGCCAGTCGTTCGGCAGTAGTGCGGCGTCCACGGCTGTTGCAGAGCATCACTGAGCGCCGCCTGCGTGGCACGGAGCAGCGCCGAGTTGGGGTCCGCCGACGGCTCCACCACCAGCAGGTCCTGCTTGGGGAACTTGTCCACCAGGAAGGCGATCACGCCGCGGACCTCCTTGGTGCTGCCGTAGAGGACCGTCTGGTAGCCGATGTCGCCGCGGAAGCCGAGCTCTCGACAGCAGTCGGCCATGACGGTGCACATGTTGAGCCGGGCCGACAGCGAGGCCGGCATTCTGCTGGCCACTCGCTCAGCCAGCTCTGGACGCACGTGCCGCACGCAGAGCGCCACTGCCGCGAACACCTGGCCTGGCGAGAGGTCGGCCAGTGAGCCGGCCTCGTCCGCCTCGAACCCGACATCGGCCAGCGAGCGCAACAGGATACGGTCCGCCTCTTCGAGCGCCATCAGCGCGCCGGCTCAGACGACCAGCCGCCGCAGCACCGGGCTTCCCGTCTTCCTCTGCACCAGTCCACCTCTGCCGGAAGAGGCGAGTGGGTTCTCTCAGGCCATCTGGTGCAATTTTTTGACAGTGCTGGCAGCTGTGTGTGCCACAGAAGCCACTTGTTGTCGTTGGAACACTGCTGCTTGATGCAGGAAGCAGATCCACTGAATGTGCTTTATTTCTTGCATGGACATAATCCCAAGCCAATACAAGGTGAGACAGTAGATCAGGTGATGTTCTAGTCACAAAATGCAGTGCCGTCTTCACAGTCTACAACAAACACACACCAAAACCAAAGGTTGTATGATTTATCATCAGGGTAAGCAGCAAGTACCAAATCTTGAAATATGAAAGCATACTAAGCAAAACTGCACAATCTCATTGATTCAAAACCAAGGGGGCTTCAACTAATGACTGAAAAAATGAAAAGTCATATAAGGTTTTGCCATGCTCACAAACCATTTGTCATTTACTTTTAAACGCCATGCATATGATCATCACATGACACATCATAGTACTGCTGTTATATTGTTTGCTGTTGATTTTAGCTTGCTTTCCCATACCTGCATTTGGTCAATTGTCACCCTTTTCAATGTTGAATTTTGAAATGGGTGCTTATGTAGTAAATACCATGCAGATCATTGATCATAGCCAACACCAAACTAAAATGGAGCTATTCAATAATGAATTAATTATATTTACTGGTAAGTGTTAATTTGAAGCATTTTAGAAATCCCCATTAGGCAAGTGGAGCTTTGCGCCCTAGGAAATTTTTGTTGTCAAAGATTCACTGACCTACTGGCGGATTCTTTCTACACACTTTTGGCAGCAAGTAACTGATCCTAAGGCATGGGCATTCACTCGGTACTTGCCGCAGCCCAAAATGCAGCACGGATGCACCCACCACGTTCACACAGCTCAAGCTGATCCCACCTCTCAAAAAGTCAATGTCATGACCCATATTGTATTATAATAATGCAACAAAAGAGTGCACATCTGACTTTGCACAAAATTTTGAAATTTCGGCAATCTTCTTGATAGCCGAAATGCAGGTAAAATGCAAGGGAAAGTTTACCAACCTTGATATTCTGAAAATCCAAGATAAAGAGTCTTCCGTCCACCTGAGTTCTCAAAGATTATTATGATATATGAAGATTCGAGTGAGCGAAAATGAAAACAAAGATCAAGATCTAACGCAATCTGCAAAAAAATTAGCAAGATCCAGCCGGACACTTCAGATTCTTCTTGATTCCAAGCAGGATTCCAAGCTTGATTCCAATTCGGATGAAAAGCATGCAATTTCATCTCTACCATTGAGTCTCGCTGTTTCGTTTCAGCTATTTCTTAACAAAAGTTGGTACTCGTAGGTAATTAAATTCAAGTTAGTTATATTCAGGCGTCCTAAGGACATATAATTCTATAAAAACCCTTAAATCGCAACAGTATAATGATAACTATATATGGGTACAAAATTTTCACGCCTCCTCTATTTTTTGGCGTCATATATCACGCAGCTAAGACAAAATCAAGGCACTGGTGGTGTTCAATTCATCGCAAGGCAAAGATAAAACATTTTCAAGCGCCATATAGCAAATCAACGAATCACGAATTCGTCTTATCAGCAGCTTTTGGATATCGCCTCCACTTCCATCGTTTCCAGAACACATTTCACCGAAGGTGGTGTATGTATGCACGTGTACACGTGTGTGTAGAACCGTAGGTAAGAGGACATTAGGGCGTTTCTTCATATCGTTTCAGTTTGTCTATATCGTCTAATGTCTGTATATTCTGGGACGTTTCCTTTTGAGAGTTAAGATCTTGGTTGAGATCATAGTTTAATAACTAATTTAAAGGTTGCATCGCTGGGATTTCAAAAGGTACCTATGCTGGATCATCAGTTGGGGAAACTACGAGGCGAATGTCAAAAAATGGATTGGTCAATAAATGGACTTTTGATGACCATATATGGGCATAAATGCAGCCCCCGCTTCTAAGGGTGAAAAACGGTATAACAAGCCGGTACTTGCGGTATCACGTCCACTTATTGGAGAGAAAAGGCTTCCATTTTTCACTAGGAATTAGTGTGATTTGATTAAATTCGGCGAATTGACTCGAAAATGGCGATAGGAAAACGGCTTTTCTGCAGGTTCTGGGCGTCACAATCAGCTGGCCATTCAATAAATGGATTGGTTTTATGGAAGAAAATTGTTAAAAGATTTAATTTAATTACAATAAACAAAAATATTTAATTCTTAAATAATAACTTAACTACAATTAGAAAAACCATAAACAAAATAATAAAAATAATGACATTTTTAAACCACGGTACTGCTTACATTTTTTGGCGCGTCCGTTTCAATCCGCCATATTTGCCAATCACGGTTTGACCTTGCGTTGTAACTCTGCGATTTAGAGCCGCCAGTTAATTATGCACCGGGTGAGTGTAGGCCTTGTGTGGTTAAAAAACATTCTTATGCCTTATTTTTTCATTTGAATGCTAAAATTCATTGAAAAGATGAAGTTGTCTGATTTTATGACCATATATGGTCATCGCCCCGCCCACTCTAGCCGCTGATTGGCTAATCCAATTTTTGTTTGGCTCCTCGTAGTTTCCCCAACTGTCATCCATTTACAACTGACTCTGTAGTCTGAACTGTATTGGTACATATTCAAAATTTTGATCTTTTTGCACTATGACTTGTGACATGTTGACAGTCGATTATGATCACATGGGTGTCTTGAGATTGATTTTTCGGGCTATGGAATGTTGATATATTTGCCTTTCTTTTAAAAACGATTTTTTATCAATGATCCCAAGTGCTCTTCAGTGGCCATTTATATCAGGATGTCAGTTGCCACCAGTTATGCTGTATTATGCTGGTATTATGCAGCCTGTAAACAATAGTCATAACTCAGTAAGTGAACAAGTTTATGTGTATTATTCTCATTTTTACTGGCTATTTTTGATTGCTTTGTCTGGATAAAAGTTTAATTGTGGGGCCAGCAAAGAAGACCAGAACATCATTGGTTCTTCGGTTGGTTTGATAATTTTTTATTGCTGCATTTCTCAGTGGACGTATAGGTACCTCATGTGATGCTATCATAACTTCATAGCCCCTATGTGTGATTTTTTGTCCTGCTCACAGTAACAAGACTCTTCAAAACTCTGCACTCGTTTTGTTTTCATCATGGCGGCTGACATGCGCGCCATCCAACCTGAGTCTCTTTACAAGCTGCACCTGGAGTGTGAGGAGCGACCCGACGGCCGTAAACTGGACGCCGCACGCGCCACGGTGGTGACACGCGGCGGCATCACGACGGCGGACGGCTCGGCGTTCTGCCGCTCCGGCCACACGTCGGTGCTCTGCGGCATCAAGGCGGAGGTGTGCACGCCGGCCACGGACGCGCCGCCCGACCGCGGCTGGGTGGTGCCCAACCTGGAGCTGCCGGCGCTCTGTCACCACCGGTTCCGGCCGGGCCCGCCCTCGGAGGCGGCGCAGACGGCCAGCGCCCAGCTGCTGCAGCTGCTGGACGCGTCCGGCGCGCTCGACCGCACCCAGCTTTGCATCGAGGCTGGCCAGGCCGTCTGGGTGCTCTACTGCGACCTGATCTGTCTGAGCCACGACTGTAACGTGCTGGACGTGGCGCTGCTGGCGCTGTCGGCGGCGCTCACCGACCTGCGCCTGCCCAGCGCCGAGTGGGACGCCACCGAGGAGAGGCTGCGGGTGAAACCCGCCGAGAGGACGCCGCTGAAGCTCGGCCCGCTGCCGCTGGCCGCCACACTAGCCGTGTTCGATAAGGAGACGCTCGTGCTGGACCCGGCAGGAGACGAGGAGATGCTGTGTGAGGCGTCAGTGACAGTGGCCTGGGCCGGCGACAGCATGGTGCTTTTGGACAAAACTGGAGGATGTGAACTGTCATTGGAGGCGATGGATCGGTGTATAGCGCTCAGCAAGAAGCGATCACTGGAACTGAAGAAGCTTTTGGACTGTTGTACGCAGAGTGGGGAAGTGGAAAAGGACGAGTAGATATGTTTATCACGAGGGTGTGTTCATGTAGGTAAGCGTTCTTCATTTCCGATGGTTTTGATAGTACATTGTTTGATAAACATTAGTGTAATATGTCTGTTGACAAACATTTCGTGCAGAAATTCCCAAATAAATCATTTCCATGTTAATCCATACTGAGAGCTAGCCAATTTTGATGTTACCGTTTCATCCATTGCAGTGAGGAGTGAGGACCCACTTCGGCATTGTTTGTAGCGGGGAAGAAGGCTTCAGTCCTTAGTGAGAGCAGCAAGATCCACGGTAAAATCCACGGTACTGATCCAAGTGCGTATACTCGTCTGCTTGCGCTTCTTGGCTGTCCGGACTCGATCTTTTGGGCCTTTCGTTAGTTTTATCTCCGAGGGTGGCTGATAATGGGGTCTCACACAAAGTGTGATTTGTAGCGAATATTTAGGCCAGCCTTGGTTGCGAATGATACCCATACCACGCCCAAGATAGACAACGTCGCCCACGGCATAGGCGGCGGAACGGGGGGGGGGGGCACCGGGGCACAGTGCCCCTTTGATTTTGGCATTTTGACATTGACCCTTTGTGCGTTGCATGGAAAGAATGGGACCAAAAATCGGCAGTGCCCCGGTGTTCCGCAGCCACTGGCCCACGGGCCCGACACCTCAATAGTAATACCCACCATCCCTGCGAGTTGCGACAACCTGGGACCGCCTTCGAATAGGCACTTATTTAAGATGCGAACTTCGTTTCAACTAGGCCACACTTCACAGCAAAACTGAGGGGCATATGGGAAGCCTGTTTGGTTTCGAAAGAAAGGGATCAGGGATCCAGCCTCGGCGGAAAATCTAACTCTCAATGAACAAGTCTTACTAAATGAATGAGTATCAATAACAGGAGTCATAGGCGGCGGAACGATTTGAGACAAGGGGGGGCACCATGGCTCAAGGAGCCAAACCTAGGGTACCCCCAAATCCTGTTTTCTCATCGGATTTAGGCCACTTATTTTTCGTCACAACCCTGACACGATGATTTTTTTTTAATTTTATTTTTACTAAACGAAAATGGCAGTTCACCCCCGTATGCAGGGGTGTAATTTTATATCTCTTTGTGGGGGCATATGCACCCACAATCCTGAATTATGTATGCCCACACAATGATGAAAATGCACCCACAAGTCTTTTACAAGGCTGCAAGCGTCCTTTCGAGAGTACGGTGCCCTTCGCATGCTCTAACGGCGTCCTCCTGACCGTCTCGCGTTCATGGATAATATAGCGTTTTTAATCACTCGGCGCCCTTCTGGGAGAATGGCGCACTTTTGACAGCACCGCGCCATTCTCATGGTCTAACGGCGCCCTCCTGACCGTCTCGCGTCCTTAGGTCTCTGTTCACCGTGCATCCCTCGACTGTTCGGCGCCCTTCTGGCCTCTCAGCGCCCCTGAACCACATATAGCGTTTTCAATCACTCGGCACCCTTTTACGAGAATGGCGCCCTTTTCATGATCTCAATGCGCCCTCGTAACCATCTGGCGTCCCCACGTCCCCACCAACGTAGCACTACTGACTGTGCGGCGCCCTTCTGGCCTCTTAGCGCCCCTGGACCACATAGCGTTTTCAATCACTCGGCGCCCTCCCAAGAGAATGGCGCCCTTTTCATCGTCTCACGGCGCCCTCGTAAGTCGTAACCGTCTGGTGCCTCCACATTTGGTGCCCCTCCTACTGGATGGCGCCCTCTACAGCTTTTTACGTCCTTCCGGTCAGTTTCCACTTTTAAGCGTGTATTTGCTTAGTCAGACACGTCACTTGAAGCGCCATTCGGCTAGCAATGTTATCAAATTCGGTGTTAATTTAGGCTCCCACATAAAGAATATCTATCGCGCCCCAAAACGGCCTGGCGCCGGGCGCCCCTACAGCTGGGCACCCACAATCATTTAGGAAAATTACACCCCTGCCCGTATGTGTGGTTAACTTTAAGCTGATCCCCAAGTACCTATGTGTTTGTCTCTTCCTTATTCTCGTTTGATAAATTCCATTAATCCTACATGTAACAAATTACCAAGAAGCCATCGCATGGTACTAATCAGTGGCGAATCCCAGGGTGGAGGTCACATGGGTCATGACTTAGGGCCTGGGGTCACCACATGCCTGCCAGGAGCACCACAGGCCTGACAGCCGACAGGGGCACCACAGGCCTGCCAGGGGTACCATAGGCCTAGCAGGGGCACCACGGGCCTGTCAGTGGCACCACAGGCCTGTCAGGAGCACCATCGGCCTAGCAAAAGCACTACAGGTCTTCCAGGGGCACCACAGACCTGCCAGGGGCACCAGAGGCCTGCCAGGGGCACTATCGGATTCGCAGGGGAACCACCGGCCTCGCAAGGGCACCATGGGCCTGTCAAGGGCACCACAAGCCTGTCGTTGGCAATTTAGGATTGTCAGAGGCACCACAAACCTGTCAAGGGCACCTGCGTTCTAACAGGGGCACCACAAACCTGCCAAGGCCCAGGGACACCACAGGCCTAGCAAGGACACCACAGGCCTGTCAGGGCCCATGGGCACCTAAGTCATGTCAGGGCCCACCGTAGGCTTGTCAGGGGGCAGGGTAGGTAGGTACCACAGTCTTTCCAGGGGCATCAGCGGCCTAGCAGGTGCAGGGGCACCAGTCGTCACATGACTAACCAAAAATAAAGAAAATAAAAAAAACTGAAAATAGGGCACCACCAAAATTAAGTGGCCGAAATCCGTTGAGGTTTTAATTTTGGGCATAGGTAGGGGCACCACTTCGATTCATGGCCCTCCCCTTGGAGTTTTCCCCGAATCTGCCCCTAGTACTAATACATCAAATTTAAGGGGGGGCACCTTGCTATTGGTGCCCCCCTTGCAGAATTCAAGGGGGGGCACGGTGCCCCGGTGCCCCCCCGTTCCGCCGCCTATGACAGGAGTAGGACTATGTAACAGGAGTAACATCAAAGCTGCGGTTCGTAGTACATAAAAAATAAAAGGTATCACGAAAACCGAAATGCGCATGCCCTGGACCGTGTCTGGACTTATCTGCAAGAATCTTGCCTGGACTAAAGCAGACTGAAGACTCGCTCTAGGCAGTAAAAGTGGTACTGTGTCTTTGACGTCATTTCGATAAAAAGCATCGCAAGAAGAGATACTTGAATTATCCTAAGGCAATTATCCTACCTTGTTTTACGGCCAATGTGGCGCAGTGAATTAGCTCATTACAATTATAGAGTTCAGTGGGTTAATTTGCTACCTTAATTATTGAAAAAAATCGTCAGTGGAAGAGCAGGAATCATAATTTTGTCCAAATAACCAGTAATTATCATTTATCAGTCACAGGCACAGGCCTGACGAAGGCCCACTTTGACTTTCAGTTTCAGTTTCTGAGCACGGTCATAGAATACTAAGGTAACACGGAGCCGAAGCTTCAAGCCAGGGGACACGGGAGGCATGCCGTCAGCTGTCCTTTTATAAACAATCGGTTTCTTTGACTTAGTTTCTAATGTTTTTCTGATGTTTTGCATCAATGAGGTACATCAAAAATTAAGTTTTATTTTTTATGAGGTGGGAAATATTTTTCTGTCCAAACCATTCCCGTTTAAGGAAAATAGACAAGGGGAGAGTTTACCCAGGACCCTATGGAGGTTGTTTACATGAGTTTACCCAGGGCCCTATGGGAGAGAATTAACACGTGCTTCTATGGGGCGAATTCGATGCAACAAATGGCGCAGTAGCGACATTACTTTTGTTCGATGTCTCTCGGACGACAAAGATTCTACGCCGTTTGGCCAATCACATTCCATAATCGCAGCCGAGCCCGTTGACCTAGAACGGGATTCGCCGGACGACGAACAATCTTCGTCGTCCGAGAGACATCGAACGAGGGGTACATCCAAGGCTATATAAACCGGTACATCGACTGAATACATTGCGATTCAATATTCAGTAGGTACTTTAAGACCGTGATTGCAATTTGCATTTGAGCTCAGCAGTCGAGTAAGTTGTGCCAAAAATACCAGAAGTGTTGCATGCCCTGGATGCAGAAAAACAAGATTGAGATGAGTGGATCAAGATGTATCTTTCGTGCAGATCAAGATGTATCAAGATGTAGGTACCTTTCACTTAAGATCCATGCAGGTGAGGTTCCAGTGAAATTTGAATTCGATAGGTAGCCATTTTTGCTTTGGCTTTGATACTTGTGGTAAGGAAACATGATTATTGTTGCATGAACCGCCCACTGCCCATTGCTGTCTTGTCTCGCGTTCGATATCCGATCACCATTCTTAAATAGCTCACCTTACCATATGGAAATCAGGTTTTAGGAGGCCACTAGGCCTGTGGGGCCTGGTCTCAATGAGCTCCCAGTGCTTAGGACAGTCAGGCTCATATGTTGGGTAAGGTCAGGTTCAGGTAGGCCAGTATGCACTCTGCAAAGCATGGCAATTTCGACAAGATCTCGTCTGTGCTGGCTTGTCCGGCTGGTGAGGCTTTGGTGTGGCGTGGATTTAGCTTGGTGCAGTGCGGATTTTGTGTAGCGCGGTGCGGATTTGGCCTGGTGTGGTCAGGTGGTGGGGTATGTAGTGTAGTGCATTTCAAATGTGGCTTGGTGATGGACATGATGGACCCAACAAAATTGATGGCCAAAATTGAAAAAAAGTATTAATGGAGCTTTAACATGCAATTGAGTGTGCTCTCGGGCTGATAGGTGTGCGGTGGTCAGAACGGATTGTGCCAGTGCTGGTGCCTGGTGGTCCCACCAATCACTGGTGTCATCTCCTGCTGTGACCCAGGGGGTCTAGTCAAAACCTTACCTATTTCTGCTAACCTAAACCTATTTCTTACAAATTAGGCAAAAATGTGATGATGGTATAATGATAAAATGATTCAAAAGTCTTCATTTCACTCAAATATTAAACCTGGCCCTTTTTTCAGGCGCAAGCTCTGGATGAACTTCTGCGGTGACGTCGGCATTCTTACAGGAGAACCCAAGATTCGCTGTACCTGTATGCATTTCAAAACTGAATAATTGATAGCAGCAAGTAAATATTTGAAGTTGCAGCCAAATGCTGTGCCTTCTCTGCTGCAAGAACTACATGTCACCATTGAAGCAAGGTAAGTGTTTAAAGAAATTGTTCACCTTCTGTGAATAATTTGATGAATAAAATTTAAAAAGATGTGGTAAAAATGTGATGAATAAAATTTAAATGCATTCTGACTTGGAATTACACACTTCTTCTGAAGGGATTTCATTATTTTAATGATTAAAGTTATGAACACGAACAGCTGAACAACCTATCAGCTGCAAGGGATTCTGCTCCTGTAAGTGCTCTCATCGCTGATTGGCCACTGTGTGTTGAAGAGGTTTCTGCTAGCTGTAAATGAGCACTAGGTAGAACATGAATTTAAGCACCAATATTCACTGATAAAAGGTGAATATCTCAAACGGTTCAAATATAAGGCATACGCAAATCTGCTCTATCAGACTGCTATCTCAGTTTAAAATCCCATGTTAAAGGTGAACTATTTCCTCGACAGGACCAGCTCGACTCCTGCAGTAGGAGTCCAGCCTCGTCCAGTCGTCCCCGCTCGCCAAGACCAGCCGGACTCCTGCAATAGGGGTCCAGGCTGACCCGTTCGTCCAGTAACCGCCGCTCGTCAGCACCAGCTGGGCTCCTGTAGTAGGGGTCCAGCCTCGTCCAGTCGCCGCCGCTCGCCAAGACCAGCTGGGCTCCTGTAGTATGGGGCTAGGATGGCCCGTTCATCAACCGGTCCCGAAGTCACATCGCTGTCAGCCAGCCGAACTCAGTACATAAGTCACCAACCCTGAATGTTGCCAGCCAAAGTCGGCAGTTTCCTTCGGACAGTCATCTCACCAGTGTTGTACAGTGTACAAGGTTAGTGACGCAGTTAAATGCGTCAATTAAATGCGAGGACGTGCGCTTGTATGCAGCGTTTTGTCATGTTGAGCTGCATGGGTGTCGATTTTCACCGAATTGAGGGTGCCCAGTGCCCACTGCCCGGGCGCAGCAAATCCGCCGCCGCCTTAGCGCCTAGCGGTGACCTTGACCCGCACCGTCTGTTGGGGCTCCAAAGCCAAGCCAGCCGAGCCGGCGGGGAATTTAGACAGCTTGAGCACCCCCAACCCGGCGGAAATTGACACCTATGTTGAGCTGTATGGATGCGTTTTAGCCTTCCGCCGTGGTGGTAAATAGCAGCCTACATGCAGAATTAGCCAGGCTTATTGGCGGACTCATTATTGGATTCATTGTGTCACGTTTGTCGGCACGTGTAAGATGTGCTTAACTGCCATTGGCTCTCGGCCTGGCGACTTCTGGGGACCACGTAATGGGGATGACTATTGGGATCCTGTGCCTTAAGCCGGCCATTTACGTCCATGGCTATATACCCCCGTACTAGGGCCAGTTATGACGTATATAGGGATCCACGAGATCTTTTTTGATGAATGGGTTGTGCAGTGTTGAGATCCGCGTGTAACGTCACTGTTTGGCCAGTCTGCCCTCAAACGCGTCATCTTTACTCGTATTTTATTTACATGAACGCCTTGCATGGTCCAGTGGTTTATATAGACATCTTCCTTGCACTAGCTAGTTTTATGTGGCCAGGTTGATTGCCTGTCAGCGCGGTCACGCTGTCGTCTTTCGATTGTTGCGCTTAAATGCGGCGAGATGAATATAGGATTTCCTTTGATGCTATTTAGTACCTGCGCCCAGCTCAACTGGAGCCTTCGGACGGCGCACCTCTTGGCCGGCGTCGTTATCTGAAACTTATTTTCCCGGGCGTATGTTGCAACTTGTTGATTGCCAGCGTCGTTGTATTACGTACGCGAAAGCAGTAGCGGCGGAACACCTTCAATTAAGGGGAAGGGGGGGGGGGGCACTGCCGACTTTTGGTCCCATTCTTTCCATGTAACCATAGAGCCCATGTTAAAATGCCAAAATCAAAGGGGGGCACGGTGCCCCGGTGCCCTCCCCGTTCCGCCGCCTATGCGCGAAAGTACCAACAGTTTCCAGTTGTTTGTGTCCCAATGTTTTTTATGAGTTGGACGATTGGGCTTTTCCCATCGCCCATAGGTTATGAAATTATTTTGTTAAGCGCTCTAAAATTGTTTCTCTACAAGTCATTAGAAACAACAAATCCAAATCCAACAAATAGATATTGATGGATACGATCTCAAGGGGGCCGATAAGAAGGAAGAGCGCGCGGCGCAATGATTGTGGAGCACAGCACACGATTAATGTGAGGCGCATTTAAGCGAGAAATAACTTAAACAGAAATGAGCAGGGTACCAGCATTGAAACTGCACCAGTACCAGCATTGAAACTAAATATAACTTATAAGATATCTCAGAAGGTTGCGCTTTTGGAGTGAATTGTGGTGCTTTACGCCGTACATCATGCTTAATGAATGTGACCGTCGTGTTTGTGGGATCCCCGTCGGTACTAGTCAGCCCCACCCCACGAATCGTGGTAGATCATAAAATAGGCATTGATTTTAAAAGCGATTTTCCACGGCCTCTCAGCAGTAGCGGCAGAACACCTTCAATTAAAGGGGGGGGGGGGGACACTGCCGACTTTTGGTCCCATTCTTTCCGTGCAACGCCCATAGGGTTAATGTTAAAATGCCACGGTGCCCCGGTGCCCGCCGCCCGGCCCGTTCCGCCGCCTATGCCTCTCAGGGTTGGTTCGAAAATGGGCACGGCCGAGGATAATCTTTGCCTCCGGTTATCATTTTGATATATCTACGAAACGGGTGCTGGGTGGTACACGAAAGCAGCTTTTTCAGGTGAGTTGAAAGGGGAAGAGGTTCTTTGAATTACCATTTCGGACCATGGTTCTAAAAAGCGCTAGGTTAAAACTACTGTGATAATTCCTATCGTAAACCATCGGACGCTCGACGCTCCATTGGCATTGGTACGATGTGCCGGTAATCGCTCGCCGAGAATGATAACTTGGCAGCTTTACTGATATGTAGGATTATCAATTAAATGTAATAGAAACGATATCAAATCCACTACCTCTTTAGAAGCTCTTGAAATAAACCTGGCTATCTGGTTGTCGAAGCCAGGCAAATTATATGCTTGGAATGACTAAATGTCCATTGTCCATGACATCATGAAATTGAATTATTTTCCTTCTTAGCACTTAAAATACATTCCAGCGACACAAAACTCCCAAAAGTCTGATATCTTGCCCGTGGTATCGTGGTACGATCGGCGAATACCTTCATACGCAATGTCCATGGCTATGCGAAGTCTAAGGTTGGCCTACATAGCCTTGGGTTGGCCTATGGTACTGCCTGTTTATCCTATTTCATATCGTATCTATGAAAATAAAGTGTTCACGATCGCATAGCCAAACTGAGAGCAAAATATTTATTTGCAAAACTCCAGCAATAACCCTCGCTTGATACTATAAAAAAATATTGCACACGATCATGCAAAGCCGTGAATCCTACCGCCTTTATTTAGCGCCGGCGTTCCCGCGTTAATAATTTCTCCTGAATCGGAGGACCAATAATCAGCTGACGCACCGTTGTTTTGATGTCGGCGGACCGTGCCAGCCCAAGCCTGTTTCTGAGCAGATCTTGCACAATAGGCAGGGGCAAGGCAGTATATGGCAGGGGGGTTCGCTCCCGTGCCTTCAGCATTACGAAAAATGGCAACAGCCCGTGAGCAGCATCAGCGCTCACGCACATGTTCAAGGAAAACGACATGTAATGGACTGCTAACGACGGCCCTCTCCACCAATCAGCGCTCGGCATCTCGAGCGCTGATTGGCTGGTAGCAAACGCGTCATATGTGGGTCTCATTTTTTGCGATCAGTGAACGCGTTATTTAATACACAGTGGCCAATGGAGAATGGCACGCGGAACTGAAGGTCAGTCTTTTATTGCTTCGTACATGTGAATGGGGGTATTTGAGTGGCATTTGACACCATTTTCGAAATCTACAGTGAATTTCTGATCGACTCATGTATATATTTTTATGAATTTGACAGTATTAGTGCTACATAGTCGGTGTTTTATGTTGGTGTTGTTTCTCTCGACCTTTGTCTTGGACTCTTATCCTATCTTTTCTCGAAAATGCTTGCCATAACCAGGTCTTAACTGTATCTGTATAAAGGGAATATGTGTTGAATATGAGGAGAAGGTAGTAATGACCATTCTGCCTATCAAACTGCCAGAAGGTGTGCTTGTAAGGTGATTGAAACTGCAGTACGGGTTGCAGATGTGGGTTTGACATTAGCATTGTTGTTGTAACTTGTAACCCCACTTGCTCTAATAAAATGGCAACATGGGGTTATGTACCCACTATTGCACAGCCTGGTATCAAGCTGGTTGATATGTGGAGGATAATGAAAGCATAAAAACTTTTCTCTAGTGAATAGGAGCGTTGCGTCTTGTGACTTATGTCAAGTCATTTTAAATGAAATGATTGTGATTGTAACTTTTACTTCAATTATTATTATTGCTAGTTTTGACCTTTTTAATCATCAAGTTTTATGTGTACCAATTTCATATGCCAGTGTAATGTCTGTGCGGCTTTGTGCAGTGAGCGTGTCTTGAAACAAACCAATTTATTTTGTACCTTTTTTTACTTCAACAAATGTATGTCAAAGGACAAAAATGTCATGTCTATTATCATTGACACTACTACAGCCATAGGCGCGGGAACTACTTTCAGACTGGGGGGGCACACCATAATGGAGATGAACCTAGGGTACCCCCAAATCTAGTTTTCTCACCGGTTTTAGGCCACTTATTTTTCATCCCTTGGCTTTTTCAACAAAAAAAGAAAAACATTTGCAAAAAAAAGTGCAGTATTTCGTCTCAAAGTTGTGGGGGCACCGCCCCCACGGCCCTAGAGTTGGGGGGGGGCAAGCTGCCCCCACTGCCCCCCGGCTCCCGCGCCTATGACTACAGCTAACTTTGCCTATATTCCTATCTTTCAGAGGCATTCATCTGCTTTCCAGTGCAGTACCTAGGAGGCTGCAACTGAAACTCGCACAAAGGCAACCAAGTGTCACTTCATCAGCCTACAGTAACAGCCCATCTGTAATCAAGATATGGGTGAAGTGGCATAGAAGAACAACCAGTAAACATGAAAAGATGTATTTTGTTTTGAACTATTTCTTAGCATAACTGAACAGCAAAGTGCACACTTACTGCTTTTTATGTTTGCCCTGTGTGCACTGTGCAGTTTTGAATTATTTTAATTATGAAATGCTTTTGCTAACTACTCTCTTTGCATAAGCTTCCTTTGTCATGCCTGTGTAATTTTGAGTTTACATGCATGATGTAGGCATGTTAGCATGTATTTCCCTTGGCTTCATAAAACTACTTCCAAGCATTTGTTATGGACATTGGTGCTACCTATATATGATGCTTCAGATGTGTCCAGTAGTTGATGAAGGGAGAAGAGTAGTAGGACAGCTGATAGGCTGATAGCTATTACCAAAAATATGTGCTTGTCTGCACTTCGGGCTGTTCCATCATATGCAACCTCTATTTACTTCCTTGCGTTAGAAACACCCCATCTTTTGTTTCTTTCCTGTGCGCCCATTGTTTCCGTGGTGCTATAAACGTCAAGTTTGAAGTTGGTATCCAAGTGAGCAAAATTTGCATTATTTCAGGCCGTCTTGAATCATTAGTCTTGAATTATATCCCTAACTGACATCCTGTTATTTGTCCTGCAATGTCTGTGCCTGTGTCCGCCCTTACCTCCGGCTCCAGCCTCCAACCAGGCCTGCTGAGCTCTGTCGCCGGCGCGGTGTGTCGCAACGTGCTGTTTCTCCACTCCACCCGACAGCTGCTAGGAATCATCCTGTGCCATGCGCCATGCGACACAGCAATTGTAAGCTGCAGGTCACATTCGGAATGATTGGCTCCGCGTATGTGCATCCGGCCGGGTGCTAGTCGATATCAGGGACGTGGGTCGGACTGTTGTGGCGGCGTGCACTGTGCTGGTTGAAGTTGTTGTATTTCTGTTAGTGAAAAGCATTAATACATAACCGTGGCCGCAGTCCAATGTTATTGTGGATTTCAGAGGGAGTGGCCAGTCAGGAGGGCCCCATGTGGGTATAGATCCAGTGTCCAGTGGGATTGGCTAAGATTTCCGGCGATTGATAAACGCTTCTATGATAGTAAACCTATTGAGTTATGAGGGGAGGTCACGTGAGGGACCTGACCTTACTAAACTCTTGTGAAAACACGACACATACGAACGGTAAGAAACCGACAGCTCTTCTTTCTGCCAAGTGTCATCTTTCTGTGAAGGATTTCTTGGCACTGAGTGTCCAGAAATTGCGTTGCTTTTGGACTGTGTAGAGGCTCACGAGCAATAACATAGGTCAACAACCTGACGTACCTTAAATATGCGACTTGTACCAGAAGATCCAGCTTGATCAAAAGATTGTACATGTCAAATTTCAGCTCTTTAGCTCAAAAGAATTTTGAGTTATCGTAAAAACCGTCAGTGTGGCACCGTATCGCCTCCCCGCGCGGTCGGAAGGTAAAAGTTCGCCGGCTTTAACTAAACAAATAGTCGTCGTATCGCAAATTCATTGACGGCGTTCGAAGCGTCGTTCAATTTACTTTCGAAACATATCCTAACATTAACATTTATCTGCCTAGCGCAATCTCCAACAAGCAAAAGTTCCGTGCATGCATCCTCATACAGTGTTAGCGGCCGCCGGCCGCCGGCCGCTGACCCACATTCGCGTCATCAGGGAATGCCGCAACTAATTTATTGTTTCCAACTTTTTTCCCGGAGCGTTCTACCTGGTTTATATAGCCTTGACAATAGGTATCTCGTCGATTTACTGGAAGTGTTGTATTATTGAGTAAAGAATAAAGGTTGCAAAATGTATTTTGTAGTGTTATCTGTCTTCCATTTTTACACATTTTTTTAGGAAAGTTATTTTATGTTCCCATATCCCATATTTCTGGAGCAGCCCACACCTGGCAGTTAAGGGGCTAGTATTTTGTGATATTGAGTAATAGATACACCATAGCTTTTCAAGTGTTGTCCTTCTCCAGTCTATATTGATATTTTCGGTATTCGTAGAGCAGATGTCACACGAAGGTTTTCCAACCAAGGAGAGACGCCATACCTGGACGTGCTTCTTTCTAGGAAAACCTAAACAAACCCAACCTGACCTAACCTAACCTACAACCTACAACCTACAAACCTACAACCTAATAACCTACAACCTACAAACCTATAAACCAACCCTACAACCTACAAACCTACAGCGCCTCTCCTCGGCTGGAAAACCTTCGTGTGACGTCTGCTCTACTAATGCCATATTTTCTTTCTTGTTATTCTTTATTTTATTTATTCTTGAAGTTTTCACTGCTCAGGGTGGGCTGGAAGGTGGGCATAATGTTAATTCATCATTAATTTTTCAGTCAACCTCCACAGTTGATGCAATTCCTTTGCCATGGATTACCTCTTCTTGATTGCTTTGCATGCATTCTTTTGCCAGGCTATGCCTTCATCTAGTATTCATGCTCATTATCTTTGGCAATGACTCATTCACAAATCATCTTTCATGCAAATCTTCATTGACTGCTAAGCATAAGCATACAGCGGGCTATAGCACCCCATAGTCCCTCCCCTGACCCTTATCAAACATAGGATATCTACCTATCCTATGTATGGGTAGGTATCTTCATCCTGCTCTTAAACTTGCTTCAGTCTCTAAAAACCACATAGGTACACCAAAGCATCACTTTCAGTTTCATCTTACCCTGTTTCAGAGGAAATGGGCTTCAAAGGTTCTTGCAAAAAAAAATGTGATTCACTGGGATACATAGGAATAATGTGACAATGGTTGTAGAGAACGTAATGGTGACTTATAACATGTAAAATTAATTGTCCCATCTTTCACATTTTCAGGTTGTATTGATCTGTAAGTGATATACTGGTATACAGCACATATTTTGTAACAAGTAACAATGGCTTCTTCAAGTGTAAGTACCTGTGCCATTTTAACAAAGGAGTAATCTTATGTTGGATGCAACTACCCATGGTATATTGAATTAAGAATTACCTACCATAAGTGTCAATGTTACTGAGTGGCAGCTCGTGCTTATATTTTTGGCTTATAAATTTAAAATATATCTTTGATCCTATGTCTTTGATGTGTTCTTTATGTCTAAAAAGTGCTTGCCGTTCATTGGTATCCAGGCAAAGTAACATCCCCGATAAATACTACTCTATGAGACATGAGTCATTATGACGTCGCTCGTCATCCGCCCTTCAGAAGCAGCCTGAGGACCACCGTCGCAAGTGGGACCGTGACGAGTATGAGGCGATTGCGGCGCGCCGGCTGCAGGAGGAGGAGGCCAAGCGCGAGGCGGCCGACCAGAAGGGGCCGCCCGTGCAGCGCGAGCTGCTCCGCCAGCGCGAGTACAAGGTCGACCTGGACAGTCGGCTCGGCAAGAGCGTGGTCATCACCAAGACCACTCCGGCCGCCCAGTCCGGCGGGTGAGGCTGCGGGACGGGCGGATGAGGCTCCGGGACGGGCGGGTGAGGCTCCGGGACGGGCGGGTGAGGCTCCGGGACGGGCGGGTGAGGCTCCGGGACGGGCGGGTGAGGCTCCGGGACGGGCGCGGGGCGGGTGGACGGTCTCGTGACCATGACCGGAGCTGCTCATCTGTCGCATCATGGGTGGTGTTTCACCAGCGCTGCCAGCGCGCTGCCAGCACACGTGGTAACTTGGGTTTCCATTGAAACATCAACAAGCCCATAGTGTGACGTCAGCTCGCGAAATGTGCTGGCAGCGTCGGTGAAACACCACCATGGTTTCGCATGGGCAAGACAATGAGTAGGGAATGACTGTTGATTGTGGACACCTACCCGAATAATAGAATATAAGGAAGTCAAGAGATAGCGATGGGTTTAAACGCCTGTGTTTTTGTAGTAAGCTGCGCCGTGCTATTTAGATATGTCCAGTACAGTTTTGAAGGACTTATATTCAAGAATTGTATCTGAGCTCCAATTAGTATGTCTATTCCTAATGCTCTTGCAGGGCAGGAACTAGGAAGTGAAGTGATGACATTTACTGACGTGCTTTTTTCGACAGGTACTATTGCAACGTGTGCGATTGCGTAGTCAAGGACTCCATCAACTTCCTTGATCACATCAATGGAAAGAAACGTTAGTATTTATCAGTTTTAACAAGTTTAACTTATCCCACACTTAGCGAAAACAAAATAATATCTAGACGAATCATATGATGTACGTATGATGTATGTTGAAAGCTTAAAGGTGGCATGGCATGTGATCAGTGTCTTTTATTTGCTGATTGTCATTAAGTCATGTTAGTTTGTACTCGGTGTACACGGTGTAAAGATGAGCTGTAATATCTGCTCCGTTTCATTGAAAGTTCTACATTTTTCGGTGCTCCTGTCAACAGATCAGCGCAATCTGGGTATGTCGATGCGAGTGGAACGGTCCTCACTAGATCAAGTCAAAAAGAGATTCGAGATGAACAAGCGGAAACGCGAAGAGCAGAAGAAAGAATACGACATGGAGGAGCGATTGAACGAAATCAGAGAAGAGGTGAGTAATTGAGCAATGTGCAGTCATGCTTTGCGAGTCATGACACATCAAACGGCATAGTCAACGGTTTTCCGTCGTATATTCTTTGTAGGTGCGAACAAAAAGCTGTTGTAGGGGATTTATGGCCATGCATTGGAGCGAAAGTTGTTTCCGCTCAGTACTTTAAGGTTTCTTACTTATCATTTCGATTCCTGCGTACATTATGTCAGGGTTTACGTTTCGCCTTCTGTAGCTCATGTTGCTCCATCTATGAAGCACGTGTCCTCACCGTGGTGTTTGTACCCCGGCCGCCAGGAGGAGAAGCAGAAGGAGTACCGACGCGACCGGCGGAAGGACAAGAAGAGGAAGACGGCTGACCCGGTGGACGACGAGCCCGTCGACCCGGCGCTGGCCGCCATGATGGGATTCTCCGGGTTCGGCGGCGCCAAGAAAAAGTGATCGGCTCTGACGAAGGTCAGTGTACACTACCCTGGAGCGACCCCCGTGACCCGAGTCTACCATGGCCGTCCATTAGCCGCCATGGGACTGACCATGCAGTAAAAAGATTGCTGCAAACGGGCCGAGCGGCTTGTCACAGACTTCGCACCGTCCGAACTTGTGAGTGTGAAGTACTTTCTTCACCGGGCGTGAAGAACTTTCTTCACGTCATGACCTATTCTGAGGTTAGGCGTGTTGCACCTCTGGGGGCAGCCGAACAAGGCTGAAACTCTTCCTCGGGGGACTAAGTGACGTAACACATAGACGCCTCACGTTTGACGTTTGCCGATGCTGTGTGGTCACTGTGGTGAGTACAAGCCTGTCGATGGGGTGAGGGGGTGAGAGGGTGAGAGGAGGCAGGTCTGGTGTAAACGCTCACTGTGGCTCGGTATTTATAGGAGCCGCCGAACGCATTCTCATGCATGTGTGCGACGGGGGCTCAGCGGGTGTGTCCTCTGCGTAAGATATCTGAATGTCGCGGGGCTGGCTGAGGCGTGGTCACACGTGTGGATGTGTGCCGACGCCTGGATGTGTTTCGTGTCTGCAGGCGGCACCTGGTGAACGTAGAGCTGGATCGTTTATGGACAATTTCCATGTAACAATGTAACTGACATCCCTGTGTGCAAAACGATTTGGTCCCACCCGGTTATCTTTGTTGGCTCGTGTTCATATGTGTACTTAACTGCTGCGCTCTTTTGTGGAAAAATATGCCTTGAGATGGTTACAGTGTTTACACAGGCCTTCGAACTCGATTGCTAAGGCGGGGTTTTGAATCTAGCGATCCGGTGAATGGGGTGGTTAGTGATCGGTGGAGATTGTAGCAGCAGGTGGTAGCAGCCGTCCTTTAATGACTAGCCTGGCGTTAGCAAGTAGCAACTGTTGACGCGATGTCCATAAGAGAGAAAGACACCATTCGTGAATCCAGATGATCGAATCTCTTTGTCCACCGTGTGATCCAGTTGAACGTATCAACCTATTTCTGAAAGCGCACCGCGCAATCAACAAAGAGCAAGTCGTAGATGTGTCACAACTCCCAAGGACCGAACCTCTCACAACCTGTATAAAAGGGATCTCCCAGCGTATATTTCGGCCTCCTGAGCAAAACAACAGAACGTCTATACGTGGTCGGTCATTCCGCCCAGTCGAGACTTCCACAGATGATCAGCGCGAGGCCCCGGTACCCCCCCCCCCCTCCTTCCGAGGGGCGCGCGTGCACATGATGCCCCGCCAGTCGCGCCGGCCGGCCACCTCCGCTCCGGGGGACCGCCGAGAGCTGGGTGCATTGGTGACGCGGCAAACATAAAACGCGAAATGGATTAACAAACCCAGTAGCAAATCACTCATAAATAGTCAAAATTGCTATCATTCTCCGGATGCCGCAGCCGAATGTCGGCCGAAAGTCATAGCCTCCGCCTTCGGTTGGAGTATTTGAACTTGGTGACGTAGCCGACCACCAGCGACTGGATCTTTGTCGGATTGATGTCCCCCGATTTGTTGTGGCAAATCTGCAATCACAGACAAATTGAGGTGTTTCAGAATGCGCACGGTATTCCAATAGGCGAAGTTAAACTAAGTTCAGCTCACGCTGGACACTTGGAACAACTATGCCACCCATCCATGTAGCTTGCACAACCCCGTTTGAAGTTTTAGACCCGACTTCATTATGTCCACTGCGAACAAACTGCATTTGATGCGATCAAACTACATAATAAACTGCGAACTATCTGAAGTGGCGTAAACAATGCAAGGAACCCACTTACTGACAGAGCACATCATACAGAAACATACTAACAGTGCCTACATCGGACGCTGGAGGAGTTATAACGCCGGCTTACCTTGTTGACGGACTTTCCGAGGATGTGCTTGTACTGCTCCTTTGTGATGTCGCGCTGGTGGTAGTAAGGTTTGAGGACCATCTTCACCTCCTCCACCACGCGCTCCTGGCGGTTCAGCTTCCTCAGGAACTGTGAAACGAGCAGGGCGTCATTACGGGGAAATGCCAGCCGAGCACAGTCAAGCACCTGGTAAAATGGAGACAATTATACATTCCGTGACGAATGAAATTGTGAGATAAATATATCGGCTAATGCTTGACGGTATTGTATTATTTTCTTCCCGTGAAGCAGTAATTCTTCCCGTTAAGGAGAGCAGGACTTTAACGTTAAACAAGGTGAAGTAGCACCCAACGGCCAGCTGCTTACTATTCACAAATCTCCCAAGACACCAATACTCGCCGCTCCTGCTACCCCGACCAGGCCGTCGCGACCCACCTTTTCTTTGACCATCAGCTCGACGGCCGAGTTGGGCACGTCATCGACCACCTCCAGGCCGTCGTTGGTGATGCTGGCCGACGGCACAGACTTGTCCGCTGCAACGGCACGGGACGTGGGTCAGACGGGGGTGGACAGTCGGGACGGGCAGGAGTGACAGCATGCAGTCAGGACAACCAGTGATGACATGGATAGTATTGTGAAGCATTTATTGTATAGGAGTCTTCGTAACTTCCTGAACCACACTGGCCGTTAACATAGCATAACTCTAAGCTATACAAACTCGCCGAATTATCGGTTGTCTCAGTTCTGTTGACCCATTGGCATTTGACCACGCTATTTGGTTTCTACGCCACACCGAATACACTGTTTAATGTTTATGGCCACGTCCGAGACCGACATCTGCATCATGGATTACAAGATCCGACATTCCAATTAGTCCCTTCTCCGACACTCACCTCTGCGGACGGGCACCTCGTGTTTCCTGGTGCCCTTCATCCGCCCTCCGCCGGACCGGCTCACTATTCGGGTGGGCTCCGAACCGAACAGGTCGTCGAACCGCGACATGCCCTCGCCAGGTGAGAACGGCGAGCAGGGCGCCGCCCCCGCCGCCGCCGTCGGCCGCGGCGGCTCGAACAGGTCGTCCCCGTCGTCCGGGTCGGGCGAGCGCGGCGACTCGGGGGAGGCCGGCGAGCCCAGCTCCATGTCGATGCTGGGGTCGGCGGGCTGCGGGGAGGGCGCCGCCACCGGCGGGGCGGGCGCCGGGGCCGGCTGGGCCACGTTTGACACGACGGCGGCCAGCGTGGCCAGACCGGAGAGCAGCTCCTGCACGGCCGGCTGGGGAGACGCGACGGGCAGACGGTCACACACGGATAAAGATAACGTAACAGGGGGAAGCACGCGAGTCGTAACTTCCTGACTTACTGTTAAAAAATTTAATATTGCAATATTACATAAATTCAATATTCAACATTGCACCTAGTGTAATATTCATCAAAGCAAAACAAGACACTCCTGTCCAGGCCAGCCATACGCGATCTCAGCACTACATCTATCCTACCCTCCCCACATCGCTCTTACCAGTGACACCGTCGTCTGGCCGTCCAGGGTCAGTGTCGCCTCCTGCGGCGCCGGCTTTGCGCGCGCCGCCTCTGTCGACCTGCGCCGTCTGCCGCCGCCGGCGGGACTGGCCGAGGGCGAGTGGGTCGGGTCGAACGGGTCGTACTGGTCGACGGAGCCGTCACTGGGCTCCGGTCCGGGCGGCGTGCACGGGCCGCGCGGCGCCGGCGCCGGCGGAGGGCTGGGTCCGCGGCTGTCCTCCGGTGGCGTCTGCGGCCCGCGCACCGGCGGCGCCGCCTCGGCGGGCCTCGACACCGGGATCTCGGTGACCTCGGTCACCTCGGACGGAGTGGCGGGTGTTCTGGGAGCAGCGCCCGCCGTCTTATCGTCCTTCTCCGGTTTCGGCTCGCGTGACAGCGGCGACGCGTCACCCTCGCCCTCAGAGTCGGTGATAACGATCGGGTCCACTCGCGGCGGCGGCAGCTCGACGACTTCACCGTCGCTGGGCGGAGTCGGCGACCGCTTCCAGTCGGACCGCGACCACGAGCGAGAGGCGCGGTCCTTCGATGGCGAGCGAGAGCGGGAGCGCGAGCGGTGTCCGTGGCGCGACGACCGCCCCGGAGAGCGAGTTCGCCGCTTCCACGCGGGCGACTCGGAGCGCCGCGACGAGCGTCTCCGGGGTGAGGCGGTACGGCGCGCGGTTTTGTCACGCCGGGACCCGCCGCGCACCTCGTCACGATCACCCTTGTCGCGCTCTTTGGAGGTCCTTCGCCGCGCGGCTGTCCGATCGCGGGACGCATCCCGTGTACGTTTACGACCGGCGGAGACCGGCCGGTCTCGCGAGCGGGAGCGGCGCCGGCCGGGAGAGCGGCGCCGGTCCCTCGTCGAGCTGACACGGTCACCACTCCGGCTCGGCAGCGGAGACCTCTCACGAGACCGGCGCTTCCTGCTGCCACCTCGGTCACGAGAGTCTCCCCGAGTCCTGTCCCGCGACTTCGACCTTCTCCGAGCCTTTTCTCGTGAGGCTGAGCTGATTCGAGCCTTGTCACGAGAGCTTGCTCGGTCCTTGTCACGTGAGCTTGCTCGCTCCTTGTCACGTGAGCTTGCTCGAGCTCTGTCTCGTGACTTTGACCTTCCCCGAACCCTGTCCCGAGAGTTCGCTCGGTCCCTGTCCCGTGAACTCTTTCGACCTGAGACGCCGTTGTCCACTGAGGGTTTCGTTGTTTTCGGCAGCGGTGAGACCTCACGATGTTTCGACTTTTTCTTCTTCACTTCTCTGTCAGAAGAATCACCTCTGCCTTTCTTCGCTTTCGTCGCTTTCTTATCAGCATCTGATGAGCTATCTCGACTTACCCTTCTCTTTCCTTTCCCAGCATTTGATGGACTGTCCCGACGATCTTTTGCTTTCGATTTGTCTTTCTTGGTAGAGGCTGTATCACGCTTTTTCTTGCCTTTACCTCTATCATCTTCAGAATCTGAAGAACTATCACGAACTGGCTTCTTCTTTTTAGTCGCCTTTTTAACCAGCGTGTCATGCTTTTTCTTCGTTTTGCCCCTGTCGTGTTCTGAATCTGAGGAACTATCCCGGCTAGGCTTTTTCTTCTTCGTCTTCGTTTCCTTGTGAGACGAGTTAGCTTCAGTCTTCTTTTTCTTCTTCTCTCCATCTTTATGTGGGGACAAATCCCGGACCTTTTTCTTCTTCTTATCCCGGTCTTTTTTGGGGGTCGGGGAGCGTGACCGTTTGCGTTTGAGCGCCGTGTGACTTCGACTGCGCGACCGGCGCCGCCTCCGCCGACCGGGGGAGCCTCGGCTGGAGACGGACGAACTCGAGAGTGACGAGCTGCTGGACGAGGAGCTCGAACTGCTGGACGAACGTCTCCTCACCGGCTTCCGCGCCTGGCGGTCCGACACAACGGCCCGTACGTCGTAACGCTGCAGATCCTCTTTCTTGTTCTTTGGTGGGGGTGGCTGTGAGGCGGACTTCTTGTCACCCGATTTGCCTTCTGTTGAGGTTTTACGGTTACTTGACTCATTATCCTTTACACTATCCTTCCTGTCACGAGCCTTCTTTTTATTTTCTGAGTCATCCCCATCTCGTCTCGAGCTTCCAGCAGCATTAGGATCAGTCCTTTGGCTAACACTACCATTTACATCATCCTTGACCCGGTTCTCTCCACCACTTTTATCCGCCTTCACCGGACTTGCAGCCACCTCCGGTTCCGGCTTACTCTCCGGTATTTTCTTCCACTTGCTCTCAGTTGGTGCCGGAGTGTTCCCGCCCTCGGCCTTTGCCTTAGTCTCTGCCTCCTCACCCTTCGCCGTTCCCGGTTCGTTCCGATCAGGAGGTGATCCCGGCGGCAGAGGGGGAGGGGAGAGCAGCGGCAGAGTCGCCGGCCGGCGCTCCCGCTCCGGGGAGTCCCCGAAGATGGCCTCAATGTCCCGCTCCACTTTGCTCCCGGACGGCTCCGGCGACCCGAAAATGTCCGCCAAGTTCTTCTCCACGTCCTTCTCACGGGCGGCCGGCGAGGCGGCGGGCGGACGGACGCCCAGTCGCGCCGGGCCCGCCCCGGACGGCAGAGGGATGGAGAAACTGATGGCCGGCCGGCCGGACGGCGGCCGTATCGGCGTCATGGCCGCTCCGGCCGGGAACAGCGGCGTGGTCACGCGCGCGGCCGGCCGCGGACGGGAGCTGACCGGCTCCATGACGGCGGCCGCCACCGTCACCAGGTGGCTGCGGTCCGGCCGCGGCGCGCCGCCGGGCCCCCGCGCACCCCCGCCGCCGCCCACAGGAGCAGTCGCCGCCGGAGGGGTCACTCCGCGGCGCACCTCCGGCGAACGGACCGCATCATCGATCACCAGGTCCTCAGACGAGCCGTCGCTGCCTTGGCGCGGTGAGGCCGACGGGGAGCGTCGCGTCGGACCCGCCGCGGCCGCCGAGGCTCCCGGCAGCGGCGACGGCCCGGTGGCCGCGCTGTCGGCGTCGTCAGAGTCCGGGTGGTCGCCGGCGCCGGGCGGTTCGATGTCGCTGTAGAGGTCCGGCTCCTCCTGGGTTGGTTTCGGGGGAGTGGGCGGCCGGCGGCGGGCGACGCTGGGCCCGTTGGTGGTCCCGAGGGTCGGCCCAGCGCCTTCCGAAGGTGAGCCACTGCCGCTGCCGCTCGAATTGTTCCGCAGATAGTTGGCGTACGCTCCGGCGCCGCGCGGGTCACTGTCGGCGGCCGGCGGTGCGCAGGACTGTGACGCGCCCCCGCCGCCGGTCCGGCCGCCTCCGTCCCCTCCGCCGCGGCTGACGGTCGACTGGGGCCCGGCAGTGCCGCCGGCGTGTCCCAGCGCCGCCGTCCGTCCGCTGGGGCCGGCCGCGGCCGTCAGCGCCGGCCCCGAGCGGGCCACCAGCCGTCCGTCCCTCTCAATCGCCACGTCCGAGCCGCGAGTGTGCAGCAGTGACTGCGAGGCCATGATCGAGTTCAGTACATCACCGCCGAGAGGCCGCTGCGCCGGCGCCGGGCACGAGCGTACCACGGGCGCCGGGCCGCGCTTCAGGCGCGCCACGATCTCGGCCCTGGAGAGTGGCCGTCGCGCGGCGACCGTCGTCGGCCCGCCGAACGGTCCAGAGTCCTCGCCGTCGCTGCCGCCGCTCAGCGCCAGCAGGTCGTCCCGCCGGCCGAACAGGGACAGCGTGGGCAGGCCGGTGCCGAAGCGCGGCACGCCGCTGGGCCCGGCGCCCTCCGCAGCGCCCGCCTGACCGGCCCGCATCACCGGCGGCGCCATCTGCCGAACGAGGAGCGGGGACCGAGTCAGAGCAGAGTCGGAGCGAATCTGAGACAGAGGGATCGGCAGCGCCACTAGACATAATTGTGCTCATTGATCTTGGAACAAGATTATCCAATGAACAATATCCACCCAATGCCACTAACGCTAGCATTATGTTTTGTCAGAGCTACAAGCCAAATTAGCATCAGCATACTGTTGTGCATGAATTGCGACTCTTACCTAAAATTCGTTAACAGAACTAACCTGTCCGGGCTTCATACGTCGAATGGCGAGCAGCCTGCGCAGGTTCTCACGAGTTTTCTCGTACGGGTCCGGCTCCGGTCGCTGTCGCCTCTGCGGGAACGGAGGGCAGGTTAGCGACAACAACGGGCGGCAAAACGATGCCCCATTTACTGAAACTGCATTCACTTCATATCCCTTGGCTAAAACACATATTTTCACGCAGCCAACTCTACACCACGCACGTTTCTTACCGAGGAAGTTTTCTTCTTCTTGCCTCCCTTCCGCTTCTTCCTCCGCGTCTTCGTTTTGCGCTTGCCTCCGGAGGATTTGGCTCTGGTGGTTTTGCGTTTGGTCTTAGTTTTCCGCTTACGTCTGGTGGTGGTGGAGCGGCGAGCCGTGGAGGTGCTGGCGGACCGGCCCCGGCCGCGGCTGGGAGCCGGCGAGGAGCTGGACGCCACCTGCCGGACGGTGGGAGTCGTTGGTAGGACACCAAAGGTAGCCTACGAGTTGCTTCAGCTAAGTTTAAGCGATATTGTAATGGAACGGGGTTATTATGAACTGAACAAAGATCGGGCTCGAAATAAAATAGCTCGAGGAGCTAATGAGCGGTCAGACGGTGCCACCGAACGTCAAATCAAAACTCTGAATGGATTGAAGACTACGTTGAGCCGAGAGCATACCAATCGATCCGCCTGTGTTGGCCGCACAGCTTTCAGTGATTCATCGATATAAGACACGGCGCGGACCGACAGACAGCGGCCCCCTAGCCACCCCTCCCACGTCCGCACGTACCGCGGTGCCGGCTGAGGCGGCGCCGGCTCGGCGCGGCAGCCGTGAGATCCTCTCACTGAGCCGGGTGCGGGCCACCAGGCGCTGCGAGCGCTGGCGGCGCGGGCCCGCGCGTAGCAGAGGCAGCTCGGCGTCGTAGTCGGGGTCATCGAGCAGGCCGAGCAGCTCGTCCTGACTGACACCGACCTGTGGAAGTACCGACACAGTTATACCCGTCTCATACCGACCAATAAACACCGACAGCAGTGTCCTAGTGTTATATATCCATTGATACCTGACTCATACCAATATTCGAGATAAAATACCGATTAAATTGTTATGCACCGAGGTACGGAGATGGTATTGGGACTTAGCAGCTCTCCACACAGACGGTACGGCGGCCTGACGGTTTAACTAATAACTGCCGTGCCAAATATAATAATAATCACGTCGGAGCAACGACCTGAAAAATACACTGGCGATAATGACAGTCAGGCGTCACAAAAGTGGAGTCTGAGCTACAGCTGCACGGCCTGCGAATGTAGCTGATCAGTGGTACATACGTCTTTAAATAGCAATTTTGCTGCAGGCAAATGTCATTCACTGCCTCTGTGCCTCGGAGAATCCCCTTCCAGCCACCAAACAGCGCAGTAACCTTCGACTGAGGCCCCGCGTACCCTCTCCTACCTGATTCATGCATCACATAACAAATGGAGCTCGCCGGAACATTGCTCACAGAATATGACCAAAGTTCAAACACAAATTGTGAGTAGTTCCGTTCGCAACATTTCACGCTAGTAGGTCGCGAGGCAAAACGGAGCTGAATAAAATGAGGCAAAGTTCATATCACGCTATCTGTTTACAGCGAAACCTTATTAGAACTCACCCATGGTTAAACAAGAGCAAGACCACGATAGAAAGGTACCTAATATTTACATTATGATTGGTTGCATGCTCCCCAGCATTTGCACAGCGATAGTGCATTCTTCACGACAGCGTATAACGAGACGCAAGAATCTAACCGTCAGCTACCTACTACAATCAGTTCAGGACAACTGTAACAGTTTGTAAGTCGCCTTGCAGCACATATTACGCGGTACCTGCCAGATGCCGAGCCTGCCAGCGCTCGGTTCGGCTGTCGTTTATTTACCTCGGCGGCCAGGAGGCGGGGGTTGGCCCGCAGCGGCGCACACTCTGGACAGAACCACTCGTCGGTCGGTACTTCGTGCAGCGGCGGCTCCAGACAGTCCAGGTGGTAGCCGGCGTCACAGCCGTCACAGAGCAGGAGCCGGTCCTCACGGTCAGAGCGGCCGCACACCTGACATCACAGACACCGAGTCAGTCACAGCGTCAGTCAGAGTTAGTCAGAGCCATCTCACGGCGTCGGTCAGTCATCAACGCGTTCGTCACGACAATCACCGCGTCAGGTATCGTCATTACGTAGCGAGTGACGACATCATGACTACCAAACAGTCACAACCACCACAGTGTCGGTCATAACAATCACAGCCATCACAGTCACAGCTGAATAAATAATTCACAGGTGTCGGCACACAGAGTAGCTGAGCGACCCGGCATTCCCGTCACCGGCACACACAGGCCGTACTAGCACCTGACCAAACAGTCGCCACACACGCACGACACTTCAAACCACCAAAAGCCGGTAGTTGGACAGAAAGCACTGTAGCCACCCAAAGGAGCACCATGCCACCTTCTCACGGAGCTAGCCACTGCTGTAAGTAAATATGTGACCATTCTATTCACGATATGTGTGTGAAACGCTTATGCCACTAGCGTGATTAGTAAGCTGCCGGTAGTCAAAAACTGATAATACCATACCAGCCGCATATGTATGTGTATCAATTTGACTGATGATTTGAAACTAGCAAGCATCAAGTAGGTAAAAAGCTTGAACGGACGCAGCGATCGTTTAGTGTCATCACGGATACCCCTACGACGAAAGGCGACCGTCGGAAGGCTTCAAGATGCCTCCGCGGCCGATGTCATGCCGGGACGGATCCGCGGCGCTCACCTCACAGAATGTGGGGTCCTCCTCTGGCGGCTCCTCCAGCTGGTTGGGCCCCGTGACCGGTACCTGGCGCACTATCTTACCGCCCGGCACCTTCCTCACGAGGACCAGGGTGAACGGCTGACGGTCCACCGGGCACGTGGTCACGTTCTGCCGCAAAGCAAAGGATGGAAGAATGTCAGCTGCAGTGTCGGGAAGTCGTGGAAGGGGCGTCGCGTCGCTCCTACAACAAACATTAAAAACAAAGCAATGCTTTTTCACATGAGGAACAAACTAACAACAGATAGCACCATCTCAAGCATGCTGCTGAAAATGCCTGCCTACCTTGGCCCACTCCAGGATGTGATCCAGACAGAAGTTGTGATCACATGACTCCGGGTTGCCGACCTCCTGCCCTTTGAAGCGTGACAGACAGATGGGGCACACATCTGCCCCACTGTCAGAGCTGTCCGAGCCACTGCCGCTGCCAGAGCTCTCGTTACCACTCTCTCCATCCTCTTCTGCATCCTCTCCTTCCTCTTCTTCAGAGCCCTCCTCAGCTGAGCCCTCCTCACCCGAACCTGCAAAGGGACAGATAGGACAGACTGTGAGCTATACCAGCAGCTGGAATATGCCATCTTTTATGATAACACATATGAGACTTGAATAATGCAGCCAACTTAACATCAACTCAGTGTTATTTCAACTTTAAGAAAACACTTGCTTAGGTGTTACATAAGTAATCTTCAGATGGGGATGCCACAAACGACAAGTGAAATATGTCAAATACACCCTGGTACCACCGAATAGCTGAAAAAGTCAGCCAGTGCCTTACCATCACTTTCAGAGCCATCTGATTCCTCATCTGATGAATCAATGACTAATGTCTTCTTCTTCTTTTGCATTCCTCCCACCCCAGAGTCTGAACCATCTTCTTCCATTTCCTGAAAACGAATTCATGAAATCTTTGAAATTGCAAAGAAAGATAATTACATACTGTACACAAAAGCTTTACTGAAAAAGTAGTCAAAGTGGCAAGAACCTTTTGGTTTTTGCATCAATCATAACATTGTTTAATCCAAAGACAGGCATGATCTTAGGGCCTGTTCCAGGACCTCCAGTAGAAATTATTGACTGGAGGCTCTACTTGAGGTTTTACGCGAGGTCCAGGAATGCAGCCTGGAGAGTAACTCTTGAGTTTGGTGTCAGGGATACCAAAAAATGATGATGGTTCAGTCTTGAGAAACAAAATTTGTTTTTAATTTTAGTATGAAAGAATTGAAAACTATAATAGCATAATTTTCTTTCCACTGGAATAGTAAAATTAGCAGTCTAAGTTTGTCATTTACATTCATAATTGTCACATGTGTGATGTGCTGCCATAATTATAGACGAGAGCCTCAGGTGAACCTCGAGTGAAATGTGAACCTCACAACTGACTGGAGGCTACTGGAGGTTTCTGGAGCTTTGACTAGATATTTCTGGAGCTTACTGGAGGTGCTAGAAAGTTTGCTGGATAATTCTAGAGCTTTCTGGAGGTTCCTGGAGGTGATGGAACAGGCCCTTAGTCACAAGTATGGATAGCTTCATCCTAGGTAAAATTTGAGTTTTCATCCCTTGCATTCTTCTGGACCTATTCAGTTGGGCAAACTAGACTTTTGGAATCAAAATATGGAGGCATCAATAATTTGATTCTGGTGGGAGGAGCCATGACCAAATATGGGCATGGAATCAATTTTTTGATTCATTTGGGTACACTTTTGACTTCAAATGTATCGTTACGGTTGAAAAAAGGCCCATGACGGTGAGATTTTTCTTTAAAAAGGTAGAAAAATGTGGTAGGTTTCCAAAAAGTGTTACCTCAAAACTAAGAAATTGTCCCTTTGGCTTTGTGAATGGGAAAAAGACAGAGCCACTGTCCATCACGTAAAAGCTGTTTTGAGGAAATCACACTGTATGTTATTTCTATATCATCAATCATATACTAAGCAATCAGTATTTGTGTAAAATGGCAAAATGAAATTTTCAAACCCCTAATTATCATTGTTGTAGTGCTTTTATATTTATTATATGATTTTTACCTGTTGCTTCAGTTTTTGTATTCTTGACATTTAAAAATTGTGAATTGTTATCAAATGTAGTGAGGGTATAGTACTACAATGCTATAGGTATCTGTTGTGGTGCTGAGGATACCACTAAATGAGAATAATAGCAAGATAAATGATGTATTCCTGCAAGTCATTGTTGCCTATCTCTTAACATTACCTGTGAATCAAAATAATGATTAGCCAGCTGATGGGGAATCAATATTATGATTATCTGTTTAAAGTGAATCAATTCCTTGATTGCCTTTCACTACCTATATAATTCAAATTTTTATGATAGGAGCAATATTATTTTGCTTAGGAGATAGTTCCAGCTTTTCTGTTCAAGATCAGGCATGCTCCTTCTTGAAACACTCTCTTATTTTTATGTGATTGGTAAGTTAGAAATGGTCTGCATTTATGCCCAAATATGGGCATAAGGAATCAATCTTTTGATGCCTCCATATTTTGATTCCAAAGGTCTAGTTTGCCCAACTGTATTTTCAGTTTTTCATCAGTAGTTGAGGTGGTTAAAACACAAAAAAGATAAAAGATAAGAGCTACAAGCAAATATGATGCAAACATCCTCAAGATTTCACAGCTTTAGGTCTACAGAAGCCATCACAAAAAGCGCTGATAAATCACTATTTTACACATGGCGTAGGGATGGTGCTTTATAAGAGAAGTAGTTCGTGGTTAATCACATGCATATCAAAGCTTTGGCATTTTAATACCAATTACATGAAAAAAGCGCATTACTTGCTGTAGCCATTCATCATGACCAAGAGATTTCAGCCTCCAAGTAGATAAATCTCATAAAAATTACGGCACAGCGTCCCACAAAAATTACAATAATGGCGCTGCAGCCGGCAACGAAAACATCAACTTACAGGCCAAAAAGACACAAAAGTAATATAAAACTTGCCTTAGATGGATGAAGTTAGCGAATTTTAAACCAACTGTACACTCTAATCTCGATTTATTCGACTTTGTGGGTAGAGGAAAGCGGAAATAACTCCAAAGCACACCACGGGCACCCTTCCACGAACAACCAAGGTTGTATTTTATTACTGAACACGAAACAATTTCTGAGTTGTCCATTCTTGTAAATGTGACATATATAGTAAAAATTGCCATCATTTTGCTGCTGAATTTTAATGAAATATATCAAGTGATTTTGAAAATCAAATGAATCCTATTTTTTCATCTTCATTTAAGAGCTAAATACTTTATAAAAATACCGATTTTATAAATATGACGTCATATATTGCGAGTGTTTACACTTACAATCGCATTTCGTCCATTCTGAAGGGAAGGTTGCAGGGGTCAGTGCTGCCAGATTTGGAGGATTTCCGCAAATCTGGAGGATTTTGAACTCTATTTGCGGACAAATTTCGCTTTTGGAGGATTTTTGATTCTGGAGGAAAATCTGGAGGATTTGTCGCCCGATTATTACATTCAATTTCATGGAAAAATATAACACATTCAAGACTAAAAAGGCATTTTCCTGCCCAGCGTCGCCCTACCCGTTAGGATATATCACGTCCTTTATCACCGTGAGACTGCAGAATGTCTCAGTCTGTAGCTATATCTACGAGGGTACCAAACTACTGGCGGATCTAAGGGGGACATTTGGGGCAAATGCCCCCAGCCCCCCTGCAGCGCCCGAAATCGACGAAAATTTTCGTTTTTTTCGGATAAAATGAAAACTAAACAACTTTTAAAGAAAACGTATCTTTTAAACTGCACAGCAGTGCGAAAGGATTCGAAATCCGATGAGTTTTTAGAATTTGGTGAAACTTTTTTGGGGGTATAGCCCCCCGCAGCGTCCAAGACCGCCTTTTTATATCTACAAATAGGATTTGGAGGAATCTGGAGGATTTTTGTAGCTGATCTGGAGGATTACAGCCTTCCCCATCTGGCAGCACTGGCAGGGGTTGCAGGGAAGAAGTTGCAGGTTGGGAGCAAGGTTGAGAGTAGGGGAAAGTGGGTGTATTGCGCCCTCCTAACCAATTGCGCCCACCAACATTCCCACGAATTCAATGGTATGTTTATAATTTTGTGTTCGAAAACAATATTTTCACCACCTGATAGTTCATTTTATGGCCCAAGCTCTCCGACGAAGCCAATCAGCAGGGCTCAGTTACGACATCAAAGATATCAGTCGGGGGAGGTTTGGTCAATCGTTGTCATTTTTAGCACGTGCTATTTTTGTCACACGTGCTAAAAATGACAACGATTCTGCTATTTTTGACAACGATGAGGCCGATTTCACTCCTCAGCGAGGAAATGATTTTGGAAAGATAAACACTGATTTTGGAAAAGAAGTGCTGCCACCTGGTGCAAGACGAAGAATCCAGCTTTAATATGCCTGTTATTTGTATGGTAGTTTGTTTTGTGGCCTGAAGTTGGAACTTAAAATTGAAGCATCCGAAAATGATCGATATTGATCGAAAACATGATGTTGATGAAAAAAATAATATTTTAAGTTGAGAGAGGAGGCCATTTTATCCAGATGCAGTAGTTTACTTCTTGAAATTATTTTTGCTAATGACGGCTGCTAATTATCCCTCATTACATGGCAGTCGTCGTAAGCAAAAATAATTTCAAGAAGTAAACCACCGCATCTGGATAAAATGGCCTCCTCTCTCAACTTAACATATTATTTTTTTCATCAACATCATGATTTCGATCAATATCGATCATTTTCGGATGCTTCAATTTAAAGTTCCAACTTCGGGCCACAAAAAAGGGTATACTTCAACGTTGGACTACCATACAAACAACGGCCATATTAAAGCTGGTTTCTTCTTCTTGCACCAGGTGGCAGCACTTCTTTTCCAAAATCAGTGCTTGTATTTTCAAAATCGTGATTTCCTCGCTGAGGAGTGAAATCGGCTTCATCGTTGCTAAAAATAGCTGATAGCGTTGTCATTTTTAGCACATGGTTGCCAAAAATGGCATGTGCTAAAAATGACAACCATTGACCAAACCTCCCCCAACTGATATTACGGCGTTTTCTTAGCTTTTTTGCAGTATTTTGAACCGTTGGCTATAAAAATATGTGATACGTGTATGATTTTCAGAGTGATATTTAGAAAGAAAGCCCATTTTTTCATTATATTTCACTTAAACAGTAAACTTCCTTCAGCATATTTATGATAACTTCTACGCTTTTATTAAAAAGTATCTCAATTCTAATTGCGCCCATGGCAATTGCGCCATGGGGGCGCAAATAGAATAATGGTGTAGCTATTGTATCACGACAGTATGAATGCACCATTAACTGATTGCAATAAAGAAGGAGTTTAATGCCGGGCAGGGGAGCAGCCGCTGTCGCCAGTCCGCAAATTATTTCTCTCGTCAAACTTATAATGCAGCTGCCATTTAGGCTGCCAACTTGTGGTGTAATTGACAAAATACGGCATTTTCAACATGGACTCGGGCGTGAGAGGTGACAGCTATGATCAAAAAGTAAAAACTGATGTCAACAAGTTGTCGAAACGATAAAAATTAATAATTTTGAGAGAAACGATTGAAAATTTAACCATACTTTCACATATATCTAGTCGGTTACATGAAACGTTTTCGTTGCACTTTTACAAACATACGGACACATGTTAAGTTATTTAGCTGGGCAAAAACATGCGATTTATATCTACATTTATTATTTATCCAGCCTGATTAACATTGTAAATGTTTAAGTAAGCCGCAATGACATTACACTGCCGGGGTGTATGCATTCCGTCTCATTCGCTTAGCCATGTTTAAGTATAGGGCGCAATTGGATTCTAATTGCGCCATCCCCCTGGCGCAATTTACAGCAGTTGTCGGTAAATGCGCCCTTTTGCATGTTTCTGAAAAGCAGCTGTCGGAAGCAAACGAAACATTCTTAATTGATCGCGAGGCTCTTAAGTCGTAGCTAATGAGTTCCTCTTTGAAGTGGTTACCAGTGCATGCTTATATCTCCAGCAGTTTTCTTACAATTAGCGTTTTTCCTTAAGGTGGCGCAATTCACCCTCCTTCCCCTAATATGTGCGCGCCCTAACTCTTCAACAACAACAACGAGAGTAATATGTGATTATTTATCATTTTTACACTCCATTTTCTTTCATGTTTGCACTCTTGGCCTCCGTAGGGTGTTAGTATAAGGGATATCTTCAACCTTTTATAGATAGTTCAATATTTTTTTTTGAGGGATTTTGATGTTTAGTTGAATGATTTCATGAAAATATTAGGTAGGTACCCACCTGCCACAAGTAATATTGCATATAATGACAAATCATTCTGATTTTCCACAGCATGGGGTCTATGAACTTTCAGAGCAAGTTTCAGGTTGCACCACCAGACAAGGGCAGTTTTCCACTGGATCATGAAGGCGAGTGCAAGAAGTTTATGCTGAAATACATGATCTGCTTGGGCAAAAACAACAATGACAATTCGAGGTGCAGACCAGAGGCCAAAGATTACCTCGGATGCCGAATGGACCATGAGCTGATGACGCGGGAGAGCTGGAAGAAACTGGGCTTTGATGATTTGGACAGTCCTGTAAGTGACCATAAAAAGGAATAGCTGATTCTTCTCAATTGGGTTCACAAAATCCAGGGACTGGCAGACCAGCTTTATTGTGTCATTCTTGATCACCATTTGACCCAATTAGTTACCCCAGGCCATGGCAGACTGTGATCCAGAACAGTCAGGTGACTGTCACATCCTGCTCTGCTGCACTGGCAGTGTGGCCTCCTTGAAGGTTCCCGAGCTGGCTGCCCTGCTGCAGAGAGCTCCTGCCGCCGGCCGCCGCGCGGTCACTGTTCGCGTGGTGAGCACGGACGCGGCTCGTCACTTTTTCTCACCGTCCGACCTGCCGCCGGGCGTGCAGCACTACACGGACGCAGACGAGTGGTCGGCGTGGCGCGGCCGCGGCGACCCGGTGCTGCACATCGCGCTGCGCGAGTGGGCGCACCTGCTGCTGGTGGCGCCGCTGGACGCCAACTCGCTGGCCAAGCTGGCCACCGGGCTCTGCGACACGCTGGTGACGTGCGTGGCGCGCGCCTGGCCGCTGGGCCGCCGGCCGGTGCTGCTCTGCCCGGCCATGAACACGGAGATGTGGCGCCACCCGGTGACGGCGCCGCAGCTGGAGACGCTGCGCTCCTGGGGCTGCACCGTGCAGCCGCCCGTGCAGAAGACGCTGGTCTGTGGGGAGACGGGGGTGGGCGCCATGGCTCACCTGGAGGACATCCGAGACACGGCGTACCGCCTGCTGGAACAGTGGGAGAAGGGTGCCGCGGGGACGGGGGGAGACGTGACTGGGGCTCTCTGATGTCTTGGAGTGCGTCGCAGTCATTCAGAGATAGCCAGTAGTGGAGTGTGAGGTGATCGGGTGTGGTGGCGCTATATGATTATATATTGTGCTGTGTTAGTAGGATGATGTAATTGTGCATACGCCATGCGAGTGACGGCGATTGTCCTTTTTGGAAAGATCGTGTCAGCTGTTTACGGCGAGTGTGACTCCCGAGTCAGGAACTTTTTCAGACATATAACGAAAGATATACATGAGTATCGAAATGCGTTACTCTAAGGGACAGTCAAACAATAAATCAACGCGTTGTCCTGTTGTGCTGCTGCAGCATCGATCGATGATCGAATCATTGCGTCGTTGCGTTGGTTCGACCGTATACGAGCACGGTTAGGAACTGGAAGACTGCACTTCCACCGACGAGATTCATTAGGGCGATGGTGTCGTGTGAATGATTGACCTAACCATGTTGCTATCTTTTGAGTGGTTTGGCGCATGAATGAAGTGAACTTGTCAACAAAGATTTGCTAATTCTTACACGGACGGTAGTTACATTTCAGTTCGTTGACGCTACACTACACTTTTTACGTCACTGACGGATGACCACCCACTGCAGGGCTCGCGCTCGGGTAAGCTGCAGAGCGATAAAAGCCTTTCCTTAGAGCCAGTACCTTCTCGAGATATGCATCACTGCTCGAAATGTGCCGTGACTTCTACTCCCATTCTATCGGAAATGCTTAGATGGCGCAAAGGAGCAATGTCGAGTCGCAGATAAAAAGAAGCCAGCCAGCACAGTCACGTCAACAGTCAAGACCCGGGATCTGACCGCTCACAGCAGCCGCAGCCCGCAAGTAGATAAAACGAACAGCATTTAGTAGAATATGTATTCAATCTTTGTCTTTGGACTGCGGCGAATTCAACGCCCGTGCATACACACAACTATGAAGAATCTACAAGGCGACATACTTTCACTGAAAAACAGCACATGTAGCATGTGGGCTGCACTACAACCCGAACAGAAAGCATCGCGTGGCGCCGCTTCTCCATCAATCTTGGAATACGATATCATCCAATATCCAACTCGCACCCAAAAGGCTCTTGCACTCGACTAAGCAACATCACGAAAGTTATACTGAACCATAGACCACTATATATCTATATATATAGTGTATCTATATATATAGTATATATATATATATATATAGTAGTATCTATATATATATATATCTATATATATATACTATATATATAGTGGTCTATGACTGAACATGTCAGAAATCTGCCCGCCCCTCCCCAGCTTTCTCCCCTGCGGAGAGACCGAATCAACATGGGCGCCACGATTCCGGGAAGACGCGTACCCATCGCGCTACGCATTGAGCCGGGGATCTTCGATAACCACAGTAGCCGTTATTATTAGACACTTCATCAGGCCGACGTGCCACCACGCGGTGTGGCTGAAATGGGACCGCACATCACGGGATCACCCGAAAATGCAGTGATATCGTACAAGTGTAGACCACGCATTGCAACATACGACCCAGTCTCAATGCACGCATACTGGAAATAGGCAGACACTGGCTGCAGTGCTACTAAGACATCGCACATGTGAAAAATAGACAAAAGGTCGGTCGCTAATAGAAAAATATATCTAACCACCGACCTCATTTAGACGTCACGAACTACCGAAAGCATTCCCACCCCTTGCCCGATCGCACAGACAGCTGCCAAGCTGAACTAACACCGTTAGAAGGTCCCTGTACACTAGCATGGGTGAACCCCCTCTTCACTCGCTCAGCCGAGCTGGTCGTTTGTACACACCCGTCAGCTCGCCCTTTATGAACTTCCCCGAACCGCAGCCCCAGCGATGGGCCCCGGTGGACTCCACAGGCCACAGACTCCTGTCTGTCAAGTCCATTCGTTGTGAGGGTCCTTAACGAAGCATGTTGGAATGACAATCAACCACTACTTAATATTCAGTATTCACAGACCACAGTCACTACTCACTAAGAACTTCGTCCTGGGGTGACCTACCAGCCACCATCCTACAATTGCTTCTTGATATTGCTGCGAGTCCTCCCAGCAGCAGAAAACGAGGTTCCAATGTGAAATCCCCGCTGTAGAGCGCTGTGATACAAAAATCACCGATTGCTGTCAATACGGCCTCACTCAAACGTTTCCGGTACTGAACACCCTCAGCACCGTTACCCATCACAATGAACACCTCCCGGTGCAACTGCCTTGGACGGCCAGTCATTGCTCTATGATGACATCACTGTTCTATGTTGACATCACCGATCTATGATGCTATGTATCACCGATCCTATGCTGACGTCACTGCTCCATGATGACGTCGCTGTTTTGCGGCGGCAGTGATGACTGGACCACCCAGCCGACGAGGTTCTGCAGCTGGCTGACGAGCTGCTCGTTCTCCTGGAGCGCCTGCCAGATGTCCGCCTGGGCGTCCTCCAGCTCACCGAGCCTGACAGAGCGCACCGGGGCGTCACACACGTGCCTCAGCTCATGACCTGCACCTACACAATATGCACTCTCGACAAATAAGAGAGCGACAAAGATAGACTGGTGATGAGGCCCAGCCGGGCCAGCAGTCGAATGATACTAAGACTTACATTTACGTTGAAGTCAACAACGTTGAAGTTACAATTGAATGACGTATGTAATGAGCGTTGCGAGCATCACTCAAAAATACGTCTCTCAAATTACACAAACAGCTGCACCCCCCCCCCCCTAAAAGAGCTCCCCAAGCACCCTTCCCCTGCCGCTCACTCCTCGCTCACTCCCCGCCCCTTCCTCTTGACTCCCCGACCCTCCCCGTTCACTCACCCTGACGCCAGTCGCCGGCCGTCCTCTCTGAGCACCTTGGGACTGCGGGTGACGGCGGCGGCCGGCCGCGGTGGGGTGGAGCCCGACCCCCCGCCGAGCACGGGTCGCACACAGGCCGTGTAGCGGTCCTGCAGGTCGGCCAGCCGGTCCCCCAGCTCGTCCACTAACGACTCGAGTTGCACCAGGTCGGTGGCGGCGATCTCCTTCTTGATGTACTTGGTCTGCGCCGTCCTGCGGGGAGAGGAGGAGAGGTCGAGAGGGAGAGACGTTAGAGGGGGAGGTCGCTGGTAATGGCGCGGACACTGATGCGCCGTTTGGATGATGCTAATGAAGTCGAAAAAATGCATCTGAATGGAACTGGCCATGAGTGATCGACCTCCACATACTCATCAGGAGGATTTTACGGTGCTTCGAAGCCTGAGCTAAGCCAATAGTGAAAAATCCGAGACATATTCGATCGAAATGTAGCTATCGCTTGAGGGTGTGGTCTGCTAAATTGCACACCTCAGATCTCTTGTCACTAAGAGCACCGATTCGAATGATCTATCATTTCATCTGCGGCCGACACACATCCCCTAAATAATCACTCACTCTAGAGCCGGTGCTCTGATCCCTTCGTCTCCCACCCTCATCCCCTTCACCTCACACCTTAATCTTCTATCCCCACGCCCCCGCCCTGCACCACTCACTTATACCAGTCGGAGAGCAGCTCGGCCATCGAGTTGTGGGTGGGTGCCACCTCGCCGTCAAGCAGCTGCTGCAGTGACTTACTGGTGCCCGTCAGCTTTATCTTCTCCAGGTGGTGAAACTGCTCGTCGTTGTAGGTGAGTGCTGAGGGCGGAACAGGCGGAACGGTGTGAGTAAACTGGGGATCAAGACTTGCTAATCCAATGGTAAAGTGGGTGGTTACTGGTTGATCGAGTGGAGGTTGCTGATCCAATGGTAACCGTATCCGGAAAGAAAGTTGTACGCTCAAAACAGTGCAGTAGTTTGATTTATGCTACTGTGGTGCCAATCTATGCAATGTCCTGGCAAAATGTTTCGAAATGAACAGCCGAAAAGGGGACGATTGCCTGTCCATTTCATCTAGTTATCTTGAGATAAAACTGAAAAGAAAGTTGCGACTAACAATACCTGCCACCGAGTCCTGCATCTCTAACCGTCCCCCGTCCCTTCCGCCACTCACTGCGCGCCGTCCTGTCCCTCAGCAGATGCTGCCAGCTGTCCCTCAGTTTGGCGGTGAAGGTGGCGGCGCGGGCCGGCGCCGTCGCCAGCGGGGGCAGATGGGCCACCCGACCGCGCCAGTCCACCAGTAGACACGTCTCGCCGACAATCCGCCGGTGCAGCTCGGGGATGTTGGTCTCGGACAGCCCTCGCTCCCGCTCGGCCACCTGATAGAGGGAACGGAGGGGCGTTAGTTAGGGGTGACCGGTGGTAGCCGGGGGACGTGTTGTGAAGTAGAGCCAACTGCTGTGATTTGATGGAATATCAGGAGAGTATTCGACGTGTCCCTAGAAAGGTGGAAACGGAGTTATGCTCACGCAAAATACCTAAAGGTGCTTTATGTGCTCGTTCAATGATGAGCCAAAGAGCATGACCACACTCAATCCATACATTACACTCGTACACCTAAACAAATTAAGCTTGTAAATGAGATACTTTCCTTCCGTTGCATTACATAACATTCCATGAACCAACACTACTACAATGAAACAACTGAAATATACACTAGTTGGATGGACTGCACCAACAGTGCCACACGGCCCATTCGAATTCATGTGCCGTGTACCCGTTCCGTCAGCCGGTAATGGACGGTGCCGCTCTGTGCCGCGTCACTGACCGTCTCCAGGGTCTGCTCCAGACGCTGCAGCGGCTCAGACAGCTGCGACAGCGCGTCGGCCGCCGGCCGGTGGCCGTCCTGGTGGCGGCCCAGCAGAGCGGCACTCGTCTGCTGCGAGGTGGCCAGAAGGGACCACTGGCGGCGCAGCGTGTCGCTCAGGTGCTGACACGACTCCAGGCTCTCCTTGAGACGAGTCAGCTCCGTCTTCAGCACAGAACTGAGGACGGAAAACGGAGCGGGGGAGGTGAATAAAGCTGATGGGGTTCTGCGAAGACTGACTGAGCAATGAGCATGTCCGTCATCAGCAATCTGCGATAAATGTGCAAAGAAAACGTCGTGCTTGATGACGGATCCTCCACTTTAAATAAAAATCACACATGAAGCCAGCCAAGCAAGGTTAACTAGGCGAGATGAAATAGCAGTACTCACGTGAACATGCTGACGGCGTACTCCATCAGGGAGCAGGAGAGGCTGTAGTTGGTGACGCGCCGCTTGAACTCGTAGCCGACGTTGCAGGCCATCTTGGCCAGGATCGCGTCGTTCTCCACACTCAGCGTGGAGGGAATCGTCGGAAACTTGGCTGCGGAGCACGGACGAGCGATGTAAAAAACGACGTTGTTATTAATCTCGGTTAAATCAAACGGGGGTAAGCAAGGGTCGGCTCTACGCATTCTACATCTAGAAATGAAGAAAAGGCAAGACATGACACATAGCAAACACCAATGACTCATTCTAACTTTGTTGGACAAGCAATGACCATAACTCATTTCTAATAACCAAACCAATCACTGCCCAGAGACGCCGTGTCTATATTTTCGCCAAGTCTATCCGGCATCCAAAGCACGGACCAGTCT